TTATTGAGATAATTTGTAGCTTTTCACCACTTTTTATCATTAACAACCTATGTTTAACTTCTTGGTCATGTGTTAGAAAAAGAAACCTATGTGGGTGATAGACATTTTGAAGAATTTGATATCTCAGGGTTGGGCTTATGTTTGAATGGAAAAGCCTGAAGTTATAAAAATTTCTTTCAAACCATCTTGCCACCCCTAGCTGTTATTTATGCACAGCTTCCTAACCTTGCAGTCTGTAGCATCATGACTGTGTTTTCCCCTTCGTAGGTACATCCTGGAGTCAGGTCAACATAGATTTTCGGGAGGCCGCTGGCATGAGAGTAACCATGACCACCGCAGGCCATTCTGCACACCTCTATCCCCAAGGAACACTCCCAAGATGTGAATGCCTTCAAACCTGCTGATAGGGCATGGAGCTGTGAGGGAAACAAGGAGACATAATGTCAGAAAGGGTGTTTGGGGAACCTGCACATTAAAGCTTTTCTACCAAAAACTTCCTTAAAACATACAAATAATAAGTTAAAAATATATTTATGATCTAATGAAGTGCAATGCTATATACTTACCTCCACTATCTCTAGAAATTTCCCTTCCTAACTTACCTCCCCTATCTGATGGAGGTTTCCCTGTCTTACTTACCTCCCATTTCTGGTCGAGGTTTCCCTGCCCGACCTACCTCCCCTACATGTATCTGATGAAGGTTTCCCTGCCTGACTTACCTCCCCTATCTGGTCGAGGTTTCCCTGCCTGACTTACCTCACCTATTTGGTTGAGGTTTCCCTGCCTGACTTACCCCCCCCCCCCCCCCCCCCCCCCCCCCCCCCCCCNTCTTGCCTGACTTACCTCCCCTATCTGGTCGAGGTTTTTCTGCCTGACTTACCTCCCCTATCTGGTCGAGGTTTCCTTCCTCTATCTGGCTTGTGACCTGTAGATATATCCCATACACCATTTGCGCTGTGAAATGGAAGGCATACGCAGTGGCCAACAAGGGGAATAACTTGTACTGCTGTGTCTGATAATCCATAATCTGGGCCTCTGGTCCTCTATAATTACATACAGGTACATAGGATAAGTTCATATCTATTTAATTAATATTTATCAATACTAATTCTAAAAAAACATCAATGAAAATCAAGAAATTGTAGCAGAACTGGACTCGCTAATCGTTTGCAACCAGGAAGCCCTCTTAGTAGGGCATCTATCTAGAGTTTGGAGGGTCCTGGGTTCGAACCCCAGTCTTGCTGTGCATTTGTTTGCTCCTATAAAATTGTTCATCTTTCTTTTGAACAATTTCTTGAAATACATATCTTAAGGAACAAAATCCATTTTGTTTCAATTTCAGTTGATTTGAAATAATAACTTATTCAATTATCCAAAGGATACCATGCTCATTATGACACAAGTTCATTATTCATTTTAAAACATTTATTTACCGGTAAACTGTTCAATTCCTATGTTTAATGTAAATAAAACAGGTATTTTCATTTTCAATGTCTCTTTTATTTTTAACATTTTCCCAGTTAAGAGATACATTGATAGTAAAATGAAGCAATTTTTGGATAGTGAATTGTTTGTCAATGACATCTTTTTTCAACATTTATATAGTAATTAATTGGTATTATTTAAATTTAAAAAATGGCAAGATAATTACAAAAAAATACGTTTCAATATGTATATTTACATTCCAAAAAATTGGCTATCAGTTATGTAATTGAATCAGTTCTTTACCCCTAAGAAATTCTTAACTGGGATTTTTTTTTTTTTTTCATTGTCAGCTTTTAGATTAAGATTATTTAAATTTAAACATACCATATATAACAGATGAAATGACAGGTTTAACCCTTTCACCCCTATGTAACTTAAGTAGACTCTACCATGCATTGATATGGATGAATCCATTTTGGTCTACAGTGGTGAAAGGGTTAAACAATCCCCTTTTGGTCAGGTTATAACAGAATATAACAGAATACTATGTATAACGTGATGGAGACAACCCTTACCCTGGATAGACTTCGGTCTGTCGTCTGACTGCGCTATATCTGATGGAGATGGTACATGCCTGCGCCAGCCCACGTGACGAATCACCAACAATGGCAGCACGGATCAGAGTCATTGAACCGTAAGATAGGCGAGAGTTAGGCGGCTTTACGTAGGTCCCATCCTCCAGGACCTGAACAAAAACGGAGAGAATGGGTGTCACTCAGTCACAAAGTATAGGAAATAGAGACAATGGGGGTCACTCAGTCACAAAGTGTAGGAAATACAGACAATGGGTGTCACTCAGTCACAAATTGTAGGAAATAGAGACAATGGGGGTCACTCAGTCACAAAGTATAGGAAACAGAGACAATGGGGGTCACTCAGTCACAAAGTGTAGGAAATAGAGACAATGGGGGTCACTCAGTCACAAAGTGTAGGAAACAGAGACAATGGGTGTCACTCAGTCACAGCATGTAGGAAATAGAGACAAAGGGTGTCACTCAGTCACAAAGTGTAGGAAATAGAGACAATGGGGGTCACTCAGTCACAAAGTGTAGGAAATACAGACAATGGGTGTCACTCAGAATAAGTGTAGGAAATAGAGACAATGGGTGTCAATCAGTCACAAAGTGTAGGAAATAGAGACAATGGGTGTCACTCAGTCACAAAGTATAGGAAATAGAGACAATGGGTGTCACTCAGTCACAAATTGTAGGAAATAGAGACAATGGGTGTCACTCAGTCACAAAGTGTCGGAAATAGAAACAATGGGTGTCACTCAGTCACAAAGTGTAGGAAATAGAGACAATGGGTGTCACTCAGAATAAGTGTAGGAAATAGAGACAATGGGTGTCACTCAGTCACAAAGTATAGGAAATAGAGACAATGGGTGTCACTCAGTCACAAAGTGTCGGAAACAGAGACAATGGGTGTCACTCAGTCACAGCGTGTAGGAAATAGAGACAATGGGTGTCACTCAGTCACAAAGTGTAGGAAATAGAGACAACGGGTGTCACTCAGTCAAAAAGTGTAGGAAACAGAGACAATGGGGGTCACTCAGTCACAAAGTATAGGAAATAGAGACAAAGGGTGTCACTCAGTCACAAAGTGTAGGAAATAGAGACAATGGGTGTCACTCAGTCACAAAGTGTAGGAAATAGAGACAATGGGGGTCACTCAGTCACAAAGTGTAGGAAACAGAGACAATGGGTGTCACTCAGTCAAAAAGTGTAGGAAACAGAGACAATGGGTGTCACTCAGCATAAGTGGTGCTTTAAAACTTTGACAATTTCTAAAAGGTTTTCAACTGCTGTTTGTTGAAACATCAAATAACCGATGAATATCAATTTCAGTAGAATCATTGCAAAAACAATTGAGGGAAGATAATTGATTTCAAAACAAAATATCCCAGAGATATCTTAACAATATGCAATGCCTTTCAACTGAGCTGAGAATGAAACATGCACAACAAAGTATCTACAGGAACAGGGACAGGATATTCCAGAAAGATTCCTCCAGTACTTCTTGAGAAATAGCGATAACATACTTCAGCTGTGAAATTTGAAGACGGACACCAAGTGAAGCCGCTATCTCGTTATTGTGATCAGCTGTCCCATAGTTAAACATACAAAACCAACAACAAAAGGGAAACTGGAAATTTCCAGAAAGAAATCTCTACAGTCCTTTATGAGAAATGGTGATGATGTTCTTTAACCTAAATGTCAAGACGCCCCATGGAATAACAATGATACTACACAGACAACAGACAAAAGGCAATAATAACACCCAACAATCTGAAGATGTTGGGCTAAACAGATGACTTTTTGTTAACTGTCCTGTACCTTGGAGTATCGCATCAGCATATAATCACGTGGGATCCGTACGTTGTTCAGCCGGAGGTAGCCATTATCATTCGTGCCGTAGCCAAATTTAGGTCCAATATCACCTAGCTCAATTCCTTCAAACAAAATATGTATGTTAGTAATTTCTGAACCTGTCTTCCTGAATAGTAATGTTATCACTGTCTCAACATCTGTGAGATTTTATCATTTTAATGAAAGGCAAATGAAAAACACAAGAACAATAAGAAAAATACTGCAGGGTTCTCCCCAGGTTTTTTTAAAGCTGATTTGTTTCATTTGCAATGAACTTTCAAGACGGACACGCTAATATAATACCTTATAATACCTTATCAAACTTAAGGTAGGGGGAGGGGGGGTAATATTATGTTTAAATAGTTACTTTTATTTACCAAACTTCTTTTGATGAACATTAAAACCAAAGAAATAAATAAGTGTTCCTTATGTCTGAATTTTCAGCAATATTATTGTTTTAAATATTCTAAAAAAAATCCAATTTATAGAAAGGTGTATGAGTTTTGTACATTGAATAATAGATATGACTTCGACATTTGTCTCTTATCTTTACATTTGTATCCCTTACTTTATCCCCATTAAAAATAATTTGAAGAAGAAATATTTAAAAGCTGTTAGTGCTATAGGGGGAAACATTTACATGAAAAAGTTTATATCACAGTTCTTATTATAGTAAGAGAAATTGTTTTAATAAAATATCCAAAACTGTATTAAATACTGCTATCAGACAAGCTAAAAAGTCAACTTGTCCCCAAAAACCCTGACTGGACACAGCAGCTAGATAGACCAGTAGTGGCTGGACAAGACTTGATTTATATAACAGTCTATTAAGTACCTGGTAGAGACTGGTGGGTCTGTAGGTTACGTAACGGCAGTAAGAACGTATGGATTCCATGACATTTCCCTTTTGTGTAAAGTTGTGCCATTATGATGCAGAAGTTCACTGTTTTCCCCACTGAAATAAAACAACATAGGGAAGTGATAGGGGTGCCAATCTGATTAAAATCATCTGTTACATGGCTCCGCCTAGGCGTAGTACGAAGTTAACGAAGCCATGTAACATATGATTTTAATCAGATTGTAGGGGTGCTGTCTCATAGGAAAGTTCACATAAATTAACACATCGTGGCAGAACTGGACTGGGTCAATCACTGACAACCATCTAGCTAAGTTGGTTTCAGAGTCTGTCTAGAGTTAGGAGGTCCTGAGTTCAAATTCTGGTCTGGTTGTTGAATTTTTCCTTTTCTGCTACACAACATTTGGATTCAGGGATAATCTCCAGAATTAATTGGACCGGTGATACATATAGGGTACCAGTACCCATAATAAACATCCTAATTATTATTTAAAGTCCAAATGGCAACTGATGTCGGGGCAAAATCTTTGCAATTAGGCTATTTCTAAAAAGCGCAGTTGGAAAACATTTTGACCTCAAAACTGATTAATGACTGAATTAAGCATATTTGCAAGCTAATGAAAAGAACACTAATTGTGAAAAAAATTCTGGCTTCTGCCCTTCTTCAATATCAGCTTACTGATGATAGAAATTCAAAACAGTTGTCAAGATAATATTTTCCGCAGTGAGACTTCAGAAGATCAGGAGCCTAAAATGTTTTTCTATGATTCTTAATATTCTGTAGACTTTGAATGTTACTCTATGGAAACTGTTTAAAGTTAAATAAAAACCCTGTGATAGAGGACGGTTATACTCACAGTTTCCAGGCCAGTATTTCATGGATGTTAAACTGGGAGAGTGGAGAATAAATTCTTGGGTTTTGGAATCATACGTCGCTGTAGTCTCGAGGCCGCGAATGAAGGTACCTGTGTAAACAAGAGGCCCATTGGGACTGTAAAGCTCACACAGACTATACTTATCATTTATCTAAATTACACAAATTAAATACACAAGGTGAGAACAAACTAATGGTTAAGTGTTTTGTAAATTAGGATATTTTTACATTAGGTTAATTATTGCAGAATTCTACCAAACAAATGTGATCCTATTTTATGTGTCCAATTTTTAAAAATCAGAAAAAATATAAATTTTTAAATTATTAAGACATATTTTCCCAATTCACACCGCTGTTAAGTTCTGTAAAAAAATACCTAGCAATTATATACCATATGTAGCATTTACCTACGTTTTATCCAATGTTTGTACTATGGAAAGTTCCTGAATCTGACCCCTGCAGTTTTCCTGTTTTCTTTTTCTTATCCAACATTCCATTTTCAAACAACTTTAAATCCAAAATCTGCATTGCAACATTTGTATTTTATAAACACTTCTTTTGAAAAGGATTTAAAAAAATATTTAATAACAGTGGTAATAATTAATATAGTTGAACTCATTCACCCCTGAAATTTCATAAGGCACTATTCCACACTTTGAATTTGAAGAGTTCAAATGTGTCTTCAGGGGTGAATGAGTTAAACTGTTGGTACCATTTACTTTAAGCTACAGGATAATCACACCTATCTTAAATCTATATCTCTCAGTTGTTGAGAGGTCAGGATGATCAACTATTAATGAACGTCTATAACAGTGTAGTTACCATGCCCTAGCTCTGTTTGTGCGTAGGTTCCAATGATGGTCATGTTTTCAGCCAAGGGTAGGAACTTTTTCTTCTGGTCCTCTGACGCCTGTTTCCGCAGTGTTGGCAGGAACATGCTGCTATGAAGACCTATAGGACTGTTTTCGTGACATGCTGCAGCTCTGTAGTGCGGTAAATAAACATGTTATCACACATGCATTTATTTAACAGATATCCCAAAACAGATGAAAGAAGTTTATAAAATTAATTAGTGTCTGGGCCTGTTGTCATTTTATAAATACCAGGTATATAGGTACCCAAAGTAGGTAAAACTATTGTAAGAAGTACATTGGAAAAAAATCAAAACATTTTTCATTAAATATGTAAAAAGGACAGCAAAATTATTTTAAAAAAGAAAAAACAAACATCAACTGAAATGTGATATTATTAAAATTCACTGCTGCATATTGGCCTTGCTAAAGCAGAAGTTTCTATATTCTACGTATAAATACATCAGTGATTTTTTTCTCTCAGTTTTACAGCCGAATACAGGCTGTTACCCCTAGCTAAAAAGTGCCTTATTTTCCCAAATGACCAAAAAATGAGGAATATATTCCCAATTTCAATAAGAATAATTTTCCCAAATAATAAAGGTACAGGCTGTTGTAAAATTTAGGTAAAAAACCCACTGACAATGATGAGGAAATAATTATATGATTGTTAAAATAAATACTCTGTGTAGAAGTATTGGTCCCATTCGTCAGTGAAACCAAGTAACTTGATCTGCTTGGCAATGTGGATGTGTTTCTTTAGGGCCATTTCATACTGCTCTTCTCTGGAACAAAACGCCCAGGGTTTGCATTCCTTGATCACTGGATCGTTAACAGCTAGGTCCTCTGAAAGGTAAAAAGTTCTACTTATATATAACTTCATCAAATCATGGTCATCATTGTTATTGTGGGGTACAGACATTACAGTCCTCGGTCCTTGTATATCACATACTGTATAATTTTACACCTAAAACATTTATACTTTTAATATAAAAATTCTCGTAACCTCACGTTTACAAGATAAATTATTTACTACAACTAGCCTTCTGTTACAAGCTTACCGAGGGGATATATATGCATAAATTTAAAACAGAATATTTTATATATTTTGTTGCCAACTTGCATTATTGTTTCATGGTGACTGTTTTTCTGTGATTTATGTTGTCATGTAAATTTTCATGTTCCTGTTTTAATATGGATATATTTCGTTGGGCCCAAAATGTAACAGGAGAGGAAAACTACACAACCAGACCGCAGACCGGGGTTCGAACCCGGGACCCTCCGAACTCTAGATGCTCTACCGATTGAGCTACCTGGTCGCCGACGATCGACCCAGTCCAGTTCCGCTACACATCTACTATTTACCTGAATTACTTTATTTCTGTATATAACCCTGTATTTATTTTGTATATATGTGACCATTTCAATATCCCGTGAATGGTTCTTATCGATAAGCTTACTTTTACCTGGAGAAACTTCAGGTCTTGTTTTATAATATTGCCAACTGAAATTCCCGACGACAATAGATGTATCTGACACTGTAAATATATCTAATTTATTCGTAATAATTTAACAATAAATATAAAAAGGGCAGGTGAAGGGGAAGGTTCGAAGTCCACCGACTGATCACGTATTGTAACTTTCTAACGTTATACAACGGATAATTATTAATGACAGCATATTAAGAGTTTTCTTTCCCTACCGAGGTATCGCTTTCTTTCTGTCCTCTCCTTTCCAAGGTAAAGAGCATATGTCAATTGTTCCACATCAAACGTCGCCTTAGATCGTTCCTTTGCTAGGTCTGGATTCACATTCATTTTCTTGGATGCTGCCATTTTCACTGTAAAAAGGTCTTCTAACACTAGAGAGTTCCAAAATACAGGTACAAAAAGGGGCCGTTTCAAAGGCAAATTTGTCAGTCCAACATCTGCTAAAATATGGGGAAATTTAAGTTAAGTTTTTCCGGTACAGGGTTTAAACAAACCTCTTCACTGGACTAAATATCATACAATAAATACTACATAATAATACTAATGATGTAAACAAGGTGTAAATTGTAATATAAATAACATAGACAGTTAAGTTCATATTAAAAGTTCGATTTCATAAATCAGGTCTTGGTTATTTTTAAACCAGTTTGTGTTTGGAGCAGATATCACAGATTCTGGTAGATTGTTCTATATGCGTGCTGCTCTCACAATAAAAGAGTTCCTTCTTAATGATGAGTTTGCCCTTTGAGGAAACAGTTTTTTAGAATTTCCTCTTTCATTGTGTCTGATGGCCATATCTGACCATACTTTTACAGAAGTACACCATTCCTTGTCATATACGCCACTGATCATCTTATTTACTTCAATATATGTCTCCACGCATACGCCTGTATGATAATGTAGGTAGAATAAGACTTTTAAGCCTTTCTTCTTATGATAATTTGTGTAGTCAAGGTAAGCATCTGGTGGCTCGGCGTTGAACATTTTTAATTAAATCAATATGTTTGTATTTATTTGGATACCAGACTGCTTTGATAACAATTCCAGTGTTGAAATATGTTAGACATCTGCTACCTGGATTTGACAAAGTAGTACAAATACGATAACACTATGAGATTAAGAGCGATGTGTAATCTATGTTACTGCTTTCTTCACCTTTTCTCAAAATTTAAGTCTGGCTCTTTTATTACTGAAATCCTTTCCACTAGTTGTAGTTAGTAATTCTTTATCATTAAATTTAGTTTTGACATGAGAACTCTAGTGGTCCCGCGGACTTTCCGACGTGCATGTCTTTGCACTTATCTGGATGCGTTTTCCTAAGCCAATCCTCGCTCCACTTGCACTGCTATCCAAGTCTCGTTACAATACATGTATTTTTTATCTTCCTCCTTGGTTATTACTTTGAAAACTTTAGTATCGTCTGCAAAGAGATACATATCAGACTCCACACTAATGAAAATAACAAAAAGAAATGGACCCAAGACAGAACCTTGTGGTATCCCGGAAGTAACCATTTAATTGTCCACTCTGAATCTGTCGACCTAAGAGAAAGTTTGAAATGTATGAGACTGTTTGATGTGAAAAGTTGTATGCGCGTAGCTTACTGATGAGACGCAAAGTGAGGAACGGTGTCAAAGGCTTGCTGGTAGTCCATATTTATAAATACAATCAATATCGTGACCTTTATCAAGAGCTTCAGTCCAATTATCTAAGACTTCGAGTAACTGTGAAGAGGTTGACCTTCCAGATATAAAACCATTTTGTTTTGCTGAAAAATATATATTTATCCGCATGTGCTTAGTGATGTGTTCTCGAATAATACATTCCATGATCTTACACACAACTGATGTCAGACTGACGGGACGATAGTTTCCGGTCTCCTATTGGTCGCATTTCTTGAATATCTCCGGTGGTTAGTGACTGGTTGAAGTCCAGAGTTTTGTAATTTATCTGGAAATAGAATTTGCTGTGTTTTGTCAGGTATGTTGGGAGTAGTTCATCAAGTCCTGATGACTTCTTTGGATTTAATTTTGAAAGATACTCTTGTACTTGATGTTCTTGCACTTGGCTGGGTATCAATTCCGCAGTGACATTGTCCTTTTGAATTCTCGCTATATATTCACTTCCATCGGTTACTGTACAAACACTACTAAAAAACTTTGCGAGAACACTCAGCTTTTCTTTATCCCTGGTGAGTCTCGGGTCCTCTTAGATGACGTGGTTTAAATCTGACATACAAATCTTTGAGCAAATGGCAGAATTTGTACAATGTGTTAAACTATAGTAGTTATAGAGCAGTCTCTATGCCAAGGACAGTCCAACGATAACTCTGATACCGATAATTAAGATTCGAAATATCAAACTGTGTAATGAACAAAACGTTTATTAAAAAATATTTAGGAACATATTTGAGATATACCTATGTGTTAATAATAAAAAAGAATAATTATATATTTACATAGTTCTATTAGAGACGTAAATTTGTATGTCTCTCGTTCTATCGAAGGCGAGTTGACCGTTAAGCTAGTAAAACCAGAGACGTATACTACTGATGAAGGTATTTTTTATGTTTGCAATTTTGGTAACAGTAATCAAAATATTTAATCAATGTTGTCATAGCTTTGCGTTGGTTTCTCGGTCACCCTAGGAGGAGGTGGGGTCACCTTCTCCTACAGAAGATAACCATCTTCTTCAAATCCAGCTTGCTCAAGCATACATGAATGTTCTATTGTTTTCTATGGGGGAAAACACTAAAACTTACTGTATCTATTAAAATTGTATTAATTCGTACAAATTTCAACATGTTACCATGGCAACCAGAATTGACAAAAAAATCAGTCTTTGACCGTATTAACCCCGTCATATATTTTTTTATATTAAACTGTATTTGCATATTATGTTGCTCTCAGTATTCAATTGATATCACCTTGCCCACTGAAATGGCCTATTCAAATTTGGTCTACTGAAACAAAAAGTTAAAAAAACTTCCCTCTGCTTCAAGACTCTTTCTTTTTATCAAAAATCTTTTTGAAATGACAACCGGTTTTCGTCAAAAACCTTTCGAAATGTTCCCCCTTAACTTATAGGGTTATCTCCCTTATATTTTTGATTGAAGATGGCGGCAAACAAGGTGCGTGCTCAGCAATAACATGACTCGATTTTGCATATTTTCGCATATTTTGCAGTTACCACACTATTTTAAGCAGATAAAACATCAGTCTGTGAATGCAAGTCACTATAAAATTGATGAGTTTGCTATTTAGATTCTTTTGAAACCCAGTTTTCAGATTGAACTTCTGGCTGTTGGTACATCACTGAATGTAAACAACCAGTAAATGCCACCCCCAGTAGCGATCCGTAGCGTTATATTTGTAATACAGATTGCGATAACCCGTGTATCATTCTGTCCACAATCTTACAATTGTTGCGTGTGTAGGGTTAAATAAAACTAGCAGACACACCATACTCTCGGCGAGACTTGCCGAATAGGTCTAACGTTTGACAAGAACCAGAGAAACAAAGGGAGACAACCTATATAGGGAAAACAATATGTAACTGACTGGAATCTCTGAAAGAATCTTTGGAATCCATTGTGAGGAGGAACACAGCACTTGTTTAACCATCACTGTAGGAATACACGCAGATCCTGTTAGAAACGTCCCATGATTTGCAATGTTTCTCGGAACCTTGATCACCAGGTTTAATTTAGATCTAAAACACCCACAAGTTTAAGTCGGTCTGGCCTTTGCATGATTTGTTTTTGTAACTTATGATTTGGATGCCTTTTACCATTATCTGTATAGATATTAATATTGGATTCAACTTTTGGTTAGAAATCAGGAAGACTTTTCAGAATGTCAACAGATGTTTCCATACCAAGATGTATTGGTACTTGTTTTAATAACACTTTCACGACTGTAGACCATAATGGACTAATCCAGATCAATGTATGGTAGAGTCTACTAAAGTTACCTAGGGGTGAAATGGTTGGGACGTTATGGTACTTCTCAAAAATTTTTCCAATATTTCATAAAAAAACCTTTAGCAGTCACATACTTAACTTTCAAACTTGTACTTTGTTTGATTTTTGTGGCCTGAGTGTTGATTTTCTATGCATCATGTACTGAAGGATTCTACAGCATTTTTTGACGTTTACAAAAAAACCTACCAAAACAACTTATTTTTGTGTAGCGAAACGACCTGATACCGAAACATCTAGAATTTGTTCCTTAAAGTTAAACCTGTTTAAAGAGATTACTTTATACAGCATACATATGTGAACAAAGATTATACTTATTACAGGACAATAAATAACTTTGATGAATACAGAGTTTTACATTTCTATTTCATGATAAGATATAAACTTTGACCTCTAAATATTCCAGGAAGCGATTGCCATTGTGGTAGATGTGGGGCCCTCTATGAACCAGGCCCCGGAAGGGGAGACAACCGCTCTACAGACAGCTATAGAAGCCATCACGATGATTGTCCAGAGGAAGGTGAGTTTAAACATCAATGAAGGTACAGGTTTGTACTTCAGCTGTCATGGAACCAGATCAAGGCTGAAATTATTTTATATTTTTTTCTAACACTTGATTTTAGAAATTTCTTTCTCTAAAGATTTTTATTGAAAGATGGCAACTTTTTTGGTACCGGAAAACATATTAAATGCCTTATATATTTTGAATAAGAAAACATAACTCAAAGTTAGCAGGAACATATTTCTAACCAATATCATAGTTGATGAATATTGTGGTTTTATCTATATGTAGGTATTTGCGGAATCTAAAGATGAGGTAGCAGTGATCCTGTTTGGGACTGCGGACACTGACAATCCCCTGGCCAACGACGAGAGTTACGAGAACATCACTATCCTCAGACCACTTGGCATCGCAGACTTTGACCTCCTGAACCTGATACAGAATGACATACAACCAAGCAACATGTCAGCTGATTGTATCCTTTCAGGGGAGATAATTTGGTTAATATAATTTTTAGGTGACAGTGTTATTTTTCCTTCTATTTAGGGAATGTGTTGTGATCTAAATTTAAGATGATTATGAGACTATATTTCAGATAATCATAATAATGATAATAATTTGAGGTTCTTATGTACCTCTTTATCAGAAACTAGTTTGCAGGTTGTCTGAAAGAGTTTCATAAATTATTGAAGTATAATCCATTGGAGTACAGCATAAAATCTCTGCACAAATATACTAAGAAAACAGTAAAAGGTGTAATGCATTTTTGAGCAAACCCCATTTTCTGATGAACAGAGATTTATCTCCCTTTGTCATACCCTGCGTCCATAGTGGAGGGGCATAAATGTTTGCCGTTTTTATGTTAGTCCGACAGTCCATACATCTTGTTTAGATTTAACATTTAGCTCCTGTTCATTTATACTAAAGGTCCTACATCTATCATACTGAGAGGAGTCGTCATGTTATATATATATGTATATTGAGAAACATGTTCTACATTTCATACAACTATACATCCAATCAAACATATAGGTCACTGTGACCTACCATTTCTGTTTTACTCACTTTCAGTAGTGGCATTTAGCTCCATATTTCCAATTGAAAATAGCCCCCCCCCCCCCCCCCATCCTTTTTCCCAATTAGCGGTAAACTTGTTCAAATTAATATTTAATGACTTTTATTTTTTTTATTTTTTAAGGTTATTGATAAGCATTGTTCTGGTTTTTGTTTATACTTTTTCCAAATTTTAATTCAAGTTCTTTTCCCAAAATAGCTTATTTAATTGCTGTCATTCAATCTGAAAACTGGACTTAACTCATTGACCCCTGGAGACACATTTGAACTGTTCCAATTCAAAGTTTGGAATAGTTCATCATGAAATTTCAGGGGTGAATAACTTAATATTCCCTTGGTAACAAAATGAGTATGATACATTGTATATTATCCTTTGCATGTATTGTTAAAATTAGTGAAAAATCTGCCTCTTTAACTTGTGTGTAGATTTGGATGCCCTTGTGGTCGGCATAGATCATCTTGTGAATGCCACTCAGTAAGTATTTATAGTGAAAACTGTCTAATCCGACAATCAATGAGATACAACATGTTGAGATATTGGAATGCACAAGTTTTATTTGATAATATTTGTTAGAAATGATATGACAGCATTACATTGGATTAGACAGGGGGTCAGAAAACAGAGGGGTCAGATTTTCCTGTGCCATATCTTACGCTTCATAGGTTTATATACATGGATCATTCAACTGTCTAAAACAGCCGTTTCTCATCTGTTAAATACATTTCCTTCATTTCTGTATTCAGTGTTGTTCAAATATCATTACTTTAATTTGCTCAGGTTTTGTGCAGGGTATTTTATAAAAGGGATCTTTTAAGATGAAATTTCTTCTGCATATTTAAATAGGATCCCTTAAACTGTTGTGTGGTCATTAGAATAGCATCAACACAAACCCTGTTGTTTTCATACTGGGGAATTTTGCATGAGCAGGTCAGTCTTTTTGGGTGCTAAGAACATTGCAACCCGGATAGAAGTACAAATTTGTAATAAAAAAATGCCATGTTGTTGACCAGCAAAGATCTCAGATCTTCAATGCAGGTCTTGTCTAACTAAAATGTAGGACATAGCTGCACTAATGAACTCTTGCACCAATGAAGTTTTCACCATAAACCTACATAAAGAGTTGCTTTCATTCCAACCTTACTTTCACTTTCATTAGACCTAGCTAGAAAGTAGAGGGTGGTCATCAAACGCCTAAGTTAATCCCTTCACAGTTCAGGTCACAAAACCGCCTAGAAACTGGATTAGTATTGAAAAAAATAAAATATACAACATTTGATATAGCGCCCTATCTAGCTAACATAAGCCACTCTAAAGCGCTTTACAGTACATAGATATACAATTTTATACAGTCAATACAATGAGCATATATATTAATCAATACAATATTGAGGAATAAGCAGGAGCTGCCTTATCAGGCGCTAACTACTAGTCCTATGCCACCTGGCTAATATCTCCCTATGTGTGTATGCCTGTGTGTGTGCTGGAGATGTATTGTGTTCTGTTTGTAGTGGGACCGTGCTTCCAACGGTATCATTTATAGTGCCACCTCGCTTGAATGCTACAGCACAGATACCGCAACACCCACCCCAGACAGTTTTATACTCCAGCTGGGTTGTTGGAGTTGTGTGGGCAGGAGAAAAATACTTTATCTGAATATTACATGCGTAGGGCGACTTCGGGGATCGAACCCCGGCCACCTGCTTGGAAGGCCGGAGTGTTAACCACTCGACCAATCCGCCCATGCATTAGATATACAACAATCTTTGTCTCATTGATTCCAATATAAGCTTATTTTCATTGACTTGTCCATTTACTAGGCAAGTCTGATGCCTGTGTTTGATACCATACTGTGAAGATTGAACATTTCTAAAAGACAAATTATATTTAGCTTTATATACCTTCATTTTGTTTATCCATGCCATTGATATATGGTAAAGAAAATTTGTTTTTAGAAAAATGTTTTCCAACTTCACCTGGTATTTTATAATCTACCTTGTTCAGTGATGTGATTGTGAGAAGTGTTAGTTATAATTCACTTTATTAACTCATTCACCCCTGAAATTTTATAATGAGCTATTCCAACCTTTGAATTGGAAGAGTTCAAATGTGTCTTCAGAGGGTGAATGAGTTAAATACCTTTCACAACCAAATGTAACACTAATATTTGTTTTCTTGATGTTTAGAGGAAAGAAGGGTTTCGGGTTCAAGCGCCTGATACTGATGTCTGACCTAGGTGGCGAATTCGGAGATGACCAAATTGATACCATCATCAATGGGATAAAAGGAACAGGCACTGAGCTTAATGTCATGTAAGTTTGGTAACAGAGGTCATATAAGTTTGGTAACAGAGGTCATATAAGTTTGGTGACAGAGGTCATGTAAGTTTGGTAACAGAGGTCATCTAAGTTTGGTAACAGAGGTCATGTAAGTTTGGCAACAGAGGTCATATAAGTTTGGTATCAGAGGTCATATAAGTTTGGTAACAGAGGTCAGGTAAGTTGGGGAACAGAGGTCATGTAAGTTTGGTAACAGAGGCCATGTAAGTTTGGTAACAGAGGTCATGTAAGTTTGGCAACAGAGGTCATATAAGTTTGGTATCAGAGGTCATATAAGTTTGGTAACAGAGGTCAGGTAAGTTGGGGAACAGAGGTCATGTAAGTTTGGTAACAGAGGCCATGTAAGTTTGGTAACAGAGGTCATGTAAGTTTGGTAACAGATGTCATGTAAGTTTGGTAACAGAGGTCATGTAAGTTTGGTAACAGATGTCATGTAAGTTTGGTAACAGAGGTCATGTAAGTTTGGTAACAGCGGACATGTAAGTTTGGTAACAGAGGTCATGTAAGTTTGGCAACAGAGGTCATATAAGTTTGGTATCAGAGGTCATATAAGTTTGGTAACAGAGGTCAGGTAAGTTGGGGAACAGAGGTCATGTAAGTTTGGTAACAGAGGCCATGTAAGTTTGGTAACAGAGGTCATGTAAGTTTGGTAACAGCGGACATGTAAGTTTGGTAACAGAGGTCATGTAAGTTTGGTAACAGAGGTCATCTAAGTTTGGTAACAGAGGTCATGTAAGTTTGGTAACAGATGTCATGTAAGTTTGGTAACAGAGGTCATGTAAGTTTGGTAACAGAGGTCATGTAAGTTTGGTAACAGAGGTCATATAAGTTTGGTAACAGAACTTAATGTAAAATAGACTAATATGATGGTAGAAACACAAGCAGACCTTAACAAAAGACATTTTAGCTAGTTACCTTAGAAATGGAAATTGATAGTAAGTAGTCTACTATCTCAGGAACGTCGCAGACAGTCAAACATCACCACTCAAACGTAGAGTTCATATTTGTCGTGTGTTAATTTAACCCCTGACATGTAATTGCTATGTATAGTGTATGCTAACATTCACTTTCTCTGTATCCTGTGTGTTTTCAGTGGTCCAAGTTTAGACGACGAGGATGATAATGACAGCGAAAAACCGGGGCCAAGCACGATATCAAACGGGCATCGCAAGGAGCGCACCGCCCAGCAGCGAGCAGGAGAGGCGATGCTGCGTCACATTCTACAGGAAGTGGACGGCGAGTGTTATAGTTTCAGGTCTCTGACACATTTCATTGAACATCACATTAAAACCTAAAAACAATGATTATTTGAAAATTTGTGATGGTTGAAAGTCAAAATTTGTTTAAAAAAATTGATCATATGAGGGGGTGCTACTTTTCATCTGTTTAAGAACTGGTGACTGCTACTAGTCCTACTTTGTTGGGCTAAATCTTTTGATATCTGGCCTGTGTAGAGAATCATTGAAATAATTGGAAAGTGTATAATGGGAATGCTGCATGGAGTTTTATGATATGTATAGCCATTTTGCTGCCCGTTTTGAATCTTTTTGAATTAGATGCAAAAAATGTATTGGTCATGGGAGACAACAAACAAAATCCGCTTTGCCTTTTTGTGCAATTTCAATATATGCAAATCCAAAATATCATTTAACTTTTCTCACAAATAATGTGCACTACTGGAGAAGAGGCCATTAAGTTCTAATGAAAAACCCATGAACTTTTCCCCATTACATTCCCATGAAAGGCAAATAAAAGTCCCATAAATTAAACCCATTAAAGTGCTAAAAGTCAATGAGGTACTTCTAATGGTATTCAGAGCAATACTATTTGACGGTATGGCCATTAAAATCTCTACACAAAATATTAATGGCCATTATACTTATTACTACATTTCATGGCCATTAAATGTCCACCTGCCATTACTTAATGGTGTTTTAAAGGCCATTAAAAATTACTTAACCATTCCATGATTTCATTGCCATTGATTCTCAATTTATAGTTTATTACCAAACTACACAATATTAATGGCCATGGTATTTTCCTTGTCATGCCCCTGAATTTCAAGTCAAACAAGAATTAATGGCCATGACATTTACCCATCTTTTTTTCGTGTTGGAGTGTCCGGTCTCTTCACCATAATTTTGCAATTATTTTAGTGTTGTTCCATCTCCTCGGGTAATACTATGTGTAATACAGTAATTCCTGCCAAGACAATGTAGTACCTGTACAACACATGACATAAAGTTATTGACCTGGTTGTTATTTTGACAGTGAGGCTTTGCCGGCCCTAAGTTCTTTCCAAAGTCGACAAATCAAACAGACAGCGTGGAAATGTCAGCTAGAAATAACGTCCGGTATTCGGATACCTATTTGTTCTTACGCAAAGGTAAGATTTTCACTTGAGTTTTCTTAAAACATAAAAGTATACTGTTACCTAAATTTCTTTCATTTCAAAATATTGTTTTTAAATCAATTAGATCTAAAGAGAATAAACCAAAAGGCAACGCCTATATTTACAAGCCCTCTCTCCAAACCTATATTTTCAGTCTGTGTGTATAAAAGGCTTTTTTTAACTGGAAAATTGTGTGTAAAGGTAAATTAAGTGCAGCTTTGGTTGCATGATGTTAAACTGAATATTCTTTTAGACAGATTTTATGACCTGTAAAGCAGTTAATTGTGAAATATTTTCCAGACCAAAATAATTCCTCCCTAAATTCGACCGTATGAGTACTGATGTACTGACAAACCTCGTAGACCCTCCAAATTGACTGAGTAGCATTCTCTTTATTGTGAAAAATGTAAATGTAAATTCTTGACAATGAAATTTATAAGAGACACTACCCATATTTTTACAAGCATATTTCCTTTCATGAATTATATTTAGTATTAGAGCAGATAAGTTTCATACAGAGGCACGGTAGTCTATTGGTAGGACTCTGGGCTCGTGACCGAAGGGTTACGGGTTCGAGTCACGGCATGGCACTGTGTTGTATCTTGAGCAAGATGCTTTACTCAGCTTGTTCCAGTCTACTCAGCTGTAAATGAGTATGTGGTTGGGCAGTGCTAGAATTGTTGAATGCTAGCTGTAAGCGCCAAATGGCAGCTCCAGCTGTATGCTCCCCAGGGGGTTGAGAAAAGTATTGGCTGGTTGCAAAGGCCCTATACCACGGATAATAATTTGTGAACCGCTTTGAGACGATCTACAAACTAGGTTGTGATAAAGCGGTATATACGAACCTCAAATTGTTATTATTTTATTATTATAATGTTAAAAATATATAAATCTTACAGAACAATGCATGCCTTTTAAATTTTTGAAGTAGTAATATAAAGTCTTACCTAAAATCATGTTTTGACGTCCTGAACTATACATATCATTATGACTGACATCACAGTATTAAAATACAACTACATGTATTGTGACTGCCTAATGTTACAAAGAAAGGCTACAGTGAGGTGTTGTGTTGCTTGTGTTTTAGCTGAAAGATTTCAAGTTGAAGCAGAGCTGGAAAAGGGTGTATGCCAAGGAGCCCTCAGAGGAGGTGGGCACATTGAGGACATACCACATGAATGACGAGGAGGAAACAGAGGTGGACCGGGAGGACATGATAGAAGGTGAGAGATAACGGTCCTGATGAAGGCCGGTGATAATAGAAAAACATAAATAATTTTTATTTATTTTACAACAATTATATATGAAACTGGTAATTTCAACCTATATTAGTCACTGTTGTTGGCCCGGATGTCGATAGGTCAGAGGTTACTGACTGTTCTAACAATCGCCCTTAACAGAACACCAACACTCTACCATATATAAGGTACCTTCCCAGGTCATTGTATATAGCACTGTCTTGTTACAGTAGATGTTTTTATGTACTTTGTCAATTATTTTCTTCAGGTTTTTTGTTTTTATTTACTGTAATTGATAGTTTGAATGTGCACTATATCATTCATTGAATTTTCACAGGTCATCGCTATGGAAACACATTGGTACCGATGTCGGAGGATGACAAGGCTAATATGAAATACAAGGCAGAAAAGTGCTTCAAAATTCTCGGCTTCACAAAACCTGAAAATGTAGGTGGAACTGAAGTACTGATCTTGTGATTGTCATGTGATTGACATGTGATTGTCATGTGATTGTCATGTGATTGACATGTGATTGACATGTGATTGTCATGTGATTGACATGTGATTGTCATGTGATTGACATGTGATTGTCATGTGATTGGATTGTCATGTACGGCTTGTTATGGATATTTCAAAAAAGGTCTGATTCTATTTCAGAATTAAAATCCACCTTTATAATATAAACGATTCATATTTTGAAACTGTGATATTTTCTGACATAGAATTTGAAATTAAGAGTTCTTGATACAATAACCTTTATATATACTGCTGACCATTACCTACAAGAACATTGAAGTATGTCACTTGTTAATTGGACAATGATCAAAGGCTTACCACAGTTCGTAGTGCCTTATGTATTGCTGTCTATAACAAGCTACCTGTTTTACTAATAACTCAAGACAACAATTTTAGTTCTAAGAAGTGTAATGGAACTTCTTTATACACAAGGATTTACTTTCGTTGAAAAACCTCGCCAAAAACCATCATTTTGCTTGAATGTGCCTTTAAATTTACATTGTGTATTAGCTTATGAAGGTTGTGTTTGGTTGCTAGGTAAAGAGAAGCCATTACCTTGGAGACGGATCATCATTTGTGGTCGCAGACAAAGGAGATGAAGTAGGTAACAACAGGGATTGTACATGTAGAACCTTACTGGCTTAAACAAGAAATGTCTTTAAAATTGATAAATACTTTAATCATTTATGGTAATAAGTATAAAAAAGGAAATAAATGTATTCGTTGAATAATTAATTTTAAAAAATTCTTAATTATACATCGTCACAAATTTAAGGTTGTTATGGTCGATATCTGGTGTAAGAAATGATCAGATTGAGAAAGGTCAGGCAAAGGATTAAATCAATATGAAATGTTTATTTATCAGCCTGAGACAGTTAACATCCCTGTATGAATCCAGTATTGTGAATGGTATCCCAACTACACAGAGGAAATCCCAAAACGATCTTAGCCGAAAAATGTGTTACCCGTTTTCTTAATCAAATTTCTAGCTTGCATTTATATTGACTATGAATGCCAATTGAGAGTGGTTCAACACTTAAATAGATTTTCAAGCAAATGGACTTCCTTGCCATACTTCTCTCAATAGCAGCTCTGTGCAACGATTCATTTGGCATTACGTTGAAGTTACCTGATTGAAGGTCGTGGTAACAAAAACAACTTTAGTTGAGCATAAAAAGCTAATTCGCTTGCAATACAGAGTTTAATAGAATCTTCCCCTACCTTGAGGGTGTGACAGAGAAATCTCCAACCTAAGGGGTAATGAGTTTTGGTTGTCTAACCTGAGGCTCTGCCAAGGGTTAGACAACCAAAAAAATCACCCCAAGGGTTGGAGATTTCTCTGTCACACCCTTAAAGTAGGAGATGATTGTTTTTCTCCCATCCTATTATTTCAGTCACAACTCCACCGACAGTAGTATAAACAAAAACACATGTGGGGTATGAATATCGTCATTCACTTTTGATGACGTCACACTTACCGGTGGTGCATTTTAATGACGTCACAATTGAACATGTGCTAATCTGCACGAGGCTATCTCCCCCTAGGGGGTGACAAGCTGATCTTTCCCAGCTAATACAGGAGACACACCTGTGAAGGGTGGGAGAAAAAAATGTCTGTAGGGTTCGTACGTGAAAGTGTAAGTATATGTATTGAAATTATAAAATGGATTATGACTTGCCAGCTGACTGATTTTCAACTGCTGTTTGAGGCGACATTGGTCCCTGATACAGACTGTATGAGAGCTGGGTAACGTTCCTCATCCTCCCTGATACAGACTCTGTATGAGAGCTGGGTAATGTTCCTCATCCTCCCTGATACAGACTCTGTATGAGAGCTGGGTAATGTTCCTCATCCTCCCTGATACAGACTCTGTATGAGAGCTGGGTAATGTTCCTCATCCTCCCTGATACAGACTCTGTATGAGAGCTGGGTAATGTTCCTCATCCTCCCTGATACAGACTCTGTATGAGAGCTGGGTAATGTTCCTCATCCTCCCTGATACAGACACTGTATGAGAGCTGGGTAATGTTCCTCATCCTCCCTGATACAGACTCTGTATGAGAGCTGGGTAATGTTCCTCATCCTCCCTGATACAGACTCTGTATGAGAGCTGGGTAATGTTCCTCATCCTCCCTGATACAGACTCTGTATGAGAGCTGGGTAATGTTCCTCATCCTCCCTGATACAGACTCTGTATGAGAGCTGGGTAATGTTCCTCATCCTCCCTGATACAGACTCTGTATGAGAGCTGGGTAATGTTCCTCATCCTCCCTGATACAGACTCTGTATGAGAGCTGGGTAATGTTCCTCATCCTCCCTGATACAGACTCTGTATGAGAGCTGGGTAATGTTCCTCATCCTCCCTGATACAGACTCTGTATGAGAGCTGGGTAATGTTCCTCATCCTCCCTGATACAGACTCTGTATGAGAGCTGGGTAATGTTCCTCATCCTCCCTGATACAGACTCTGTATGAGAGCTGGGTAATGTTCCTCATCCTCCCTGATACAGACTCTGTATGAGAGCTGGGTAATGTTCCTCATCCTCCCTGATACAGACTCTGTATGAGAGCTGGGTAATGTTCCTCATCCTCCCTGATACAGACTCTGTATGAGAGCTGGGTAATGTTCCTCATCCTCCCTGATACAGACTCTGTATGAGAGCTGGGTAATGTTCCTCATCCTCCCTGATACAGACTCTGTATGAGAGCTGGGTAATGTTCCTCATCCTCCCTGATACAGACTCTGTATGAGAGCTGGGTAATGTTCCTCATCCTCCCTGATACAGACTCTGTATGAGAGCTGGGTAATGTTCCTCATCCTCCCTGATACAGACTCTGTATGAGAGCTGGGTAATGTTCCTCATCCTCCCTGATACAGACTCTGTATGAGAGCTGGGTAATGTTCCTCATCCTCCCTGATACAGACTCTGTATGAGAGCTGGGTAATGTTCCTCATCCTCCCTGATACAGACTCTGTATGAGAGCTGGGTAATGTTCCTCATCCTCCCTGATACAGACTCTGTATGAGAGCTGGGTAATGTTCCTCATCCTCCCTGATACAGACTCTGTATGAGAGCTGGGTAATGTTCCTCATCCTCCCTGATACAGACTCTGTATGAGAGCTGGGTAATGTTCCTCATCCTCCCTGATACAGACTCTGTATGAGAGCTGGGTAATGTTCCTCATCCTCCCTGATACAGACTCTGTATGAGAGCTGGGTAATGTTCCTCATCCTCCCTGATACAGACTCTGTATGAGAGCTGGGTAATGTTCCTCATCCTCCCTGATACAGACTCTGTATGAGAGCTGGGTAATGTTCCTCATCCTCCCTGATACAGACTCTGTATGAGAGCTGGGTAATGTTCCTCATCCTCCCTGATACAGACTCTGTATGAGAGCTGGGTAATGTTCCTCATCCTCCCTGATACAGACTCTGTATGAGAGCTGGGTAATGTTCCTCATCCTCCCTGATACAGACTCTGTATGAGAGCTGGGTAATGTTCCTCATCCTCCCTGATACAGACTCTGTATGAGAGCTGGGTAATGTTCCTCATCCTCCCTGATACAGACTCTGTATGAGAGCTGGGTAACGTTCCTCATCCTCCCTGATACAGACTCTGTATGAGAGCTGGGTAATGTTCCTCATCCTCCCTGATACAGACTCTGTATGAGAGCTGGGTAATGTTCCTCATCCTCCCTGATACAGACTCTGTATGAGAGCTGGGTAATGTTCCTCATCCTCCCTGATACAGACTCTGTATGAGAGCTGGGTAATGTTCCTCATCCTCCCTGATACAGACTCTGTATGAGAGCTGGGTAATGTTCCTCATCCTCCCTGATACAGACTCTGTATGAGAGCTGGGTAATGTTCCTCATCCTCCCTGATACAGACTCTGTATGAGAGCTGGGTAATGTTCCTCATCCTCCCTGATACAGACTCTGTATGAGAGCTGGGTAATGTTCCTCATCCTCCCTGATACAGACTCTGTATGAGAGCTGGGTAATGTTCCTCATCCTCCCTGATACAGACTCTGTATGAGAGCTGGGTAATGTTCCTCATCCTCCCTGATACAGACTCTGTATGAGAGCTGGGTAATGTTCCTCATCCTCCCTGATACAGACTCTGTATGAGAGCTGGGTAATGTTCCTCATCCTCCCTGATACAGACTCTGTATGAGAGCTGGGTAATGTTCCTCATCCTCCCTGATACAGACTCTGTATGAGAGCTGGGTAATGTTCCTCATCCTCCCTGATACAGACTCTGTATGAGAGCTGGGTAATGTTCCTCATCCTCCCTGATACAGACTCTGTATGAGAGCTGGGTAATGTTCCTCATCCTCCCTGATACAGACTCTGTATGAGAGCTGGGTAATGTTCCTCATCCTCCCTGATACAGACTCTGTATGAGAGCTGGGTAATGTTCCTCATCCTCCCTGATACAGACTCTGTATGAGAGCTGGGTAATGTTCCTCATCCTCCCTGATACAGACTCTGTATGAGAGCTGGGTAATGTTCCTCATCCTCCCTGATACAGACTCTGTATGAGAGCTGGGTAATGTTCCTCATCCTCCCTGATACAGACTCTGTATGAGAGCTGGGTAATGTTCCTCATCCTCCCTGATACAGACTCTGTATGAGAGCTGGGTAATGTTCCTCATCCTCCCTGATACAGACTCTGTATGAGAGCTGGGTAATGTTCCTCATCCTCCCTGATACAGACTCTGTATGAGAGCTGGGTAATGTTCCTCATCCTCCCTGATACAGACTCTGTATGAGAGCTGGGTAATGTTCCTCATCCTCCCTGATACAGACTCTGTATGAGAGCTGGGTAATGTTCCTCATCCTCCCTGATACAGACTCTGTATGAGAGCTGGGTAATGTTCCTCATCCTCCCTGATACAGACTCTGTATGAGAGCTGGGTAATGTTCCTCATCCTCCCTGATACAGACTCTGTATGAGAGCTGGGTAATGTTCCTCATCCTCCCTGATACAGACTCTGTATGAGAGCTGGGTAATGTTCCTCATCCTCCCTGATACAGACTCTGTATGAGAGCTGGGTAATGTTCCTCATCCTCCCTGATACAGACTCTGTATGAGAGCTGGGTAATGTTCCTCATCCTCCCTGATACAGACTCTGTATGAGAGCTGGGTAATGTTCCTCATCCTCCCTGATACAGACTCTGTATGAGAGCTGGGTAATGTTCCTCATCCTCCCTGATACAGACTCTGTATGAGAGCTGGGTAATGTTCCTCATCCTCCCTGATACAGACTCTGTATGAGAGCTGGGTAATGTTCCTCATCCTCCCTGATACAGACTCTGTATGAGAGCTGGGTAATGTTCCTCATCCTCCCTGATACAGACTCTGTATGAGAGCTGGGTAATGTTCCTCATCCTCCCTGATACAGACTCTGTATGAGAGCTGGGTAATGTTCCTCATCCTCCCTGATACAGACTCTGTATGAGAGCTGGGTAATGTTCCTCATCCTCCCTGATACAGACTCTGTATGAGAGCTGGGTAATGTTCCTCATCCTCCCTGATACAGACTCTGTATGAGAGCTGGGTAATGTTCCTCATCCTCCCTGATACAGACTCTGTATGAGAGCTGGGTAATGTTCCTCATCCTCCCTGATACAGACTCTGTATGAGAGCTGGGTAATGTTCCTCATCCTCCCTGATACAGACTCTGTATGAGAGCTGGGTAATGTTCCTCATCCTCCCTGATACAGACTCTGTATGAGAGCTGGGTAATGTTCCTCATCCTCCCTGATACAGACTCTGTATGAGAGCTGGGTAATGTTCCTCATCCTCCCTGATACAGACTCTGTATGAGAGCTGGGTAATGTTCCTCATCCTCCCTGATACAGACTCTGTATGAGAGCTGGGTAATGTTCCTCATCCTCCCTGATACAGACTCTGTATGAGAGCTGGGTAATGTTCCTCATCCTCCCTGATACAGACTCTGTATGAGAGCTGGGTAATGTTCCTCATCCTCCCTGATACAGACTCTGTATGAGAGCTGGGTAATGTTCCTCATCCTCCCTGATACAGACTCTGTATGAGAGCTGGGTAATGTTCCTCATCCTCCCTGATACAGACTCTGTATGAGAGCTGGGTAATGTTCCTCATCCTCCCTGATACAGACTCTGTATGAGAGCTGGGTAATGTTCCTCATCCTCCCTGATACAGACTCTGTATGAGAGCTGGGTAATGTTCCTCATCCTCCCTGATACAGACTCTGTATGAGAGCTGGGTAATGTTCCTCATCCTCCCTGATACAGACTCTGTATGAGAGCTGGGTAATGTTCCTCATCCTCCCTGATACAGACTCTGTATGAGAGCTGGGTAATGTTCCTTTTCCTCCCTGATACAGACTCTGTATGAGAGCTGGGTAATGTTCCTTTTCCTCCCTGATACAGACTCTGTATGAGAGCTGGGTAATGTTCCTCATCCTCCCCGATACAGACTCTATATGAGAGCTGGGTAATGTTCCTTTTCCTCTCTGATACAGACTGTATGAGAGCTGGGTAATGTTCCTCATCCTCCCTGATACAATGTTCCTCATCCTCACTGATACAGACTCTGAATGAGCGCTGGGTACCGTTCCTCATCCTCCCTGCTACAGACTCTGTATGAGGGCTGGGTAATGTTCCGTTTCCTCCCTGATACAGCCTCTGTATGAGAGCTGCGGAACGTTCCGCATCCTCCCTGATACAGGCTCTGTATGAGAGCTGCGGAACGTTCCGCATCCTCCCTGATACAGCCTGTATGAGAGATGGGTAACGTTCCTCATCTCCTCCCTGATACAGTCTCTGTATGAGATCTGGGCCCCGATACAGACTCTGTAGGAGATCTGGGTAATGTTCCGCATCCTCCCTGATACAGAGTCTGTATCTGGGAGGAAAAGGAACGTTACCCAGATCTCATACAGAGACTGTATCAGGGAGGAGATGAGGAACGTTACCCAGATCTCATAGAGTCTGTATCAGGGGGGATGAGGAACGTTACCCAGATCTCATAGAGTCTGTATCAGGATAAGGAACATTACCCCTGTATCAGGGAGGAATAGGAACATTACCCAGAGTCTGTATAAGGGAGGAAAAGGAAAATTACCCAGATCTCACACAGTCTGTATCAGGTAGGATAAGGAACATTACCCATCTCTCATACAGTCTGTACCAGGGAGGAAAAGGACCATTCCCCAGCTCTCATACAGAGGCTGTATCAGGGAGGAAACGGAACATTACCCAGCCCTCATACAGAGTCTGCATCAGGTAGGATGATGAACGTTACCCAGCTCCTATACAGAGTCTGTATCCGGGAGGAAAAGGAATATTACCCAGTTCTCATACAGAGTCTGCATCAGGTAGGATGATGAACGTTACCCAGCTCCTATACAGAGTCTGTATCTGGGAGGATGAGGAACGGTACCCAGCGCTCATACAGAGTCTGCATCAGGTAGGATGATGAACGTTACCCAGCTCTTATACAGAGTCTGTATCAGTGAGGATAAGGAACATTTCCCAGCTCTCATATAGAGTCTGTATCAGGATAAGGAACATTAGCCAGATCTCATACAGAGGCTGTATCAGGGAGGAGATGAGGAACGTTACCCATCTCTCATACAGGCTGTATCAGGGAGGAAGCCTAGCGATTAGTCAAAGGACAGGTATAAGCCTAGCGATCAGTCAAAGGACAGGCATCAGCCTAGCGATTAGTCAAAGGACAGGTATCAGCCCAGCGATCGGTCAAAGGACAGGTATCAGCCCAGCGATCGGTCAAAGGACAGGTATAAGCCTAGCGATCAGTCAAAGGACAGGCATCAGCCTAGCGATCAGTCAAAGGACAGGTATAAGCCTAGCGATCAGTCAAAGGACAGGGATCAGCCTAGCGATCGGTCAAAGGACAGGAATCAGCCTAGCGAGCGGTCAAAGGACAGGCATCAGCCTAGCGATCGGTCAAAGGACAGGCATCAGCCTAGCGATCAGTCAAAGGACAGGCATCAGCCTAGCGATCGGTCAAAGGACAGGTATAAGCCTAGCGATCAGTCAAAGGACAGGTATAAGCCTAGCGATCAGTCAAAGGACAGGTATCAGCCCAGCGATCGGTCAAAGGACAGGAATCAGCCTAGCGAGCGGTCAAAGGACAGGTATAAGCCTAGCGATCAGTCAAAGGACAGGGATCAGCCTAGGGACCAGGCATCAGCCCAGCGATCGGTCAAAGGACAGGTATAAGCCTAGCGATCAGTCAAAGGACAGGTCACTAGGCTGATACCTGTCCTTTGACGATCACTAGGCTGATACCTTTTACATTTGGTAGCCTTACAGACTCTGTATGATGAGAGCTGGGTAATTTTCCTTTTCCTCCCTTATACAGACTCTGGGTAATGTTCCTTTTCCTCTCTGATACATACTGTATGAGAGCTGGTTAACGTTCCACATCCTCCCTGATACAAACTGGATGAGAGCTGGGTAATTCCCTGATACAGACTCTGGGTAATGTTCCTTTTCCTCCCTGATACAGACTCTGTATGAGATCTGGGTAATGTTCCTTATCCTCCCTGATACAGACTGTATGAGATCTGGGTAATGTTCCTTTTCCTCCCTGATACAGACTCTGTATGAGAGCTGGGTAATGTTCCTTTTCCTCCCTGATACAGACTCTCTATGAGATCTTGGTAATGTTCCTTTTCCTCCCTGATACAGACTCTGTATGAGAGCTGGGTAATGTTCCTCATCCTCCCTGATACAGACTCTGTATGAGATCTGGGTAATGTTCCTTATCCTCCCTGATACAGACTGTATGAGAGCTGGGTAATGCTCCTCATCCTCCCTGATACAGACTCTGTATGAGAGCTGGGTAACGTTCCTCATCCACCCTGATACAGACTCTGTATGAGAGCTCGGTAACGTTCCTCATCCTCCCTGATATAGATTCCGTTTGAGAGCTGGGTAATGTTCCTTTTCCTCGCTGATACAGTCTCTGTATGAGAGCTGGGTAACGTTCCTCATCCTCCCTGATACAGACTCGGAATGAGAGCTGGGTAATTTTCCTTTTCAGGCAGCAGCAGTGGCCCTTTCGTCGTTGGTCCAGGCGCTGTACGAGACTAACATGGTAGCGATAGTGAGGAAGGTTTACAATGCAGCCTCCGGACCAAAGCTAGGCTGTCTGATACCACACATAAAGGCGGACTACGAGGTATGAGTCGGGGCCCTGGGCTGGTTACATGTCTATAAATCCCTGCACTGGAGGTGGATGTGTATCAGGCTGAGACTTTCTAAAACAGTTCATCAGATGTTGTCTCTCTGAGAAGGTTTATGATAAAGACAGAGAGACTTTTTGATAAACAAATGTGTTTAAGGGTGTATGATACCTTACTCTTAATTGTATTTCAATTCCATAAAGGAGATATGCTGCCTGACTGATGTGAAACTACTTTTCCAAAAGAGTTCAGCACAAAAATTTCCAATAAATTCCTCGAGTTTATTTTAGACTTTAACTGTAATTGATGGCAAAGCAGAAAGACCAAATCAGTTATTTTTTTAGAACAATCAGGTAATTTTATATCACTTTACTATAGTTTTGATAGTTTACTAGAGTAAAGTTTTTTAAGGGAGATAACTCTAACTATATAATGACGGGTATATTGTGTTAGATAGCATTTGTCAGCACAGTAACAGTTAAAGGAGGTTATCCCTAATAGACAGAGACATTTCAGGGAGAAAACAGTCAATATCTGTTGTTATAGGCCTTTACATGTATACTTACTTCAGACTTTTATATTTATCGATTTTCCTTATGCTGCAATTTTCTTGCAAAAAAATTGCATTGACTTTTAATGATGTTTTGTAATGATTTTTCCAGTGTTTGCTGTACGTTGAGTTACCTTTTATGGAAGACGTCCGACAATTTACATTTGGTAGCCTTCCTATCACCAAGGATAACATATCAACAGCAAACAGTAAATTTGCACCTTCAGGTAAAACAGTTCAGTACATCCAAGATTATCTCAGAATTCAAAAGGCTAATATTTAAATAAAAATCCCATTGTGATCTACTTTGTTAGGTAGATGTGCAGTTGGGATTAAAAATGTTTCAAGGTCAAGGTCACTCTTACTGAAGATAGACCATTCAGGGTATGGTCTTTATCTCATATCCAAAAGACTCGAATTTGACCTACACCTATTTAGATGTGCAATAAGTGTTTAAATAAAGTTATTAAGGTCCAGATCAAAGTCACTGTTACTAATGAATAGAGAGATAGCATCTTCACCTCCCAGGCTGATGCTATTATAGATTGTGTTCAATCATTACCTTGAAATACAAAAGACTATTCTTTCTACAACTTGACATGGTGAATCTCTTGAATTATAGATGTTGATGGGGCATAACATGTTATGTTGTTTAAAAGATCTAAAAATAGAGCATGAGGTGAAGGTCAGACACATGACAGGGCCCTTGCTGACCAGTCAGTTTTCTAGTTGATAAAAAGTTTCTTGTGTCAGTGATAAATGTCGTACAGATTTCACTGATGGATATACATAGACAGCGTCTTCACCTCCCATGATGATTCTGAGTTGTGTTGCCTTGTTTCATAGCTGTTGTACACCACGTTTCTAGGCCATACTGTACTGTAATACAGCTAACACGAAGTCTGTCACTTGTTATCAAACTCTCTCCGTCACTCTGTCAGTCCTAGTTGTGGTTTCTTACCCAACACCTCTGGTGCTCATTAGATGGGTGGATACGATTATGAATTTTGTTTATGAAATGTTGATTGTTTTGTGTTTATTTTGACAGATAAACAGCTTGATGCTGTTGACAAGCTCATCACTACAATGGACCTGTGTCAGTCACAAGGGTGAGTAAACACTTAAATTTACTCTTAACACGCTTTAATAGGTGGACCAGAATGGTTTTCAATAACTACTTTTGTCTGCCATCATTGAGAGAAGGGTTGTGAACTCTATGGTGTTAACACTTGCTAACATGTGTGTGCCAAATAGGGAAGCGTGACGTGAATTTTTACCGTCACACCAAATGATTCAATGTGTAAACAGGCAGCACGTCCACATACTATAACCACTGTGAGCCTGTTATTGCAAACATTGATAAGTGGTGAGACTATACAGACCAATCTATATTCTATCAAGTCTTTGGTGCTTAACTTCAATGCAGTTCCCTGTACATCACGACCAATCACTAAAGACATCTGCTGATTCTTGGTACAGCCAAGATGGACATTGTTCTTTTACTTGTTTTTAAGAAACTTTTCTACATCTTTAATTGAAGAAAAAGTAATGAGTTAAGCACATTCCATTTGAAAAATGTCTCCTGTGTCCCAGAAACATGTGTTCCCTGTTGTATGCTATGCCTTGTGTTGTAGTGATGAGGAGGAGGAGGACAAAGATGAAGAGGAAGAACAAACAGAATATTTGAAGGCTAAGTCGACCTTTAACCCTCATTTCCAGAGGCTGTATCAGGTACCTTTTAGAGGCATTATTTGGAAGCAGAAATACAGAGGATATACCCTATAAATTACATCCTCGATACTCCAGGGGTTTGCTCACTTTCGCTCTCTGCACCCCTAGAATATGTCATAACAAAATGGAAGGCATGCCGTTATTCGATTGGTCTCAGGTAAAACAAAACCTGACCGATCGTTGGGGTGATACCTGTCCTTTGACCGATCGCTAGGGTGATACCTGTCCTTTGACCGATCGCTAGGCTGATACCTGTCCTTTGACCGATCGCTAGGCTGATACCTCTCCTTTGACTGGTCACTAGGCTGATACCTGTCCTCTGACCGATCGCTAGGCTGATACCTGTCCTTTGACTAATCGCTAGGCTGATGCCTGTCCTTTGACCGATCACTAGGCTGATACCTGTCCTTTGACCGATCGCTAGGCTGATCCCTGTCCTTTGACCGATAGCTGGGCTGATACCTGTCCTTCGACTGATCGCTAGGCTGCTACCTGTCCTTTGACTGATCACTAGGCTGATACCTGCCCTTTGACTGATCGCTAGGCTGATACCTGTCCTTTGACTGATCGCTAGGCTGATACCTGTCCTTTAACCAATCACTAGGCTGATACCTGTTCTTTGACCGATCACTAGGCTGATACCTGTCCTTTGACTGGTCACTAGGCTGATACCTGCCCTTTGACTGATCGCTAGGCTGATACCTGGCCTTTGACCGATCGCTAGGCTGATACCTGTCCTTTGGCTGATCGCTAGGCTGATACCTGTCCTTTGACCGATCACTAGGCTGATACCTGTCCTTTGACCGATCGCTGGGCTGATACCTGTCCTTTGACTAATCCCTAGGCTGATGCCTGTCCTTTGACTGGTCACTAGGCTGATACCTGTCCTTTGACTGGTCACTAGGCTGATTCCTGTCCTTTGACTGATCGCTAGGCTGATGCATGTCCTTTGACTGATCGCTAGGCTGATACCTGTACTTTGACTGATCGCTAGGCTGATACCTGTCCTTTGACCGATCGCTGGGCTGATACCTGTCCTTTGACCGATCACTAGGCTGATACTTGTCCTCTGACCGATCGCTAGGCTGATACCTGTCTTTTGACTAATTGCTAGGCTGATACCTGTCCTTAGACTAATCGCTAGGCTGATACCTGTCCTTTGACTAATCGCTAGGCTGATACCTGTCCTTTGACGATAACAAAGGAGAAACTTGACTTAAACTTGTTTTCTGATTCCTCATTGTAACATTTAACTGATTAACTTAACAAGTTCTGATCAAACTAAACATAGGTCAAGTACGAGAATACCTCGCATGATATCGTATTTCAACGTTCCAAGGTTAAGGCAAGGGTCACTGTTACGTTTTATATAAAATATATCATTTTTTAACCAATTCAGTGTCGACATGACTCAAATTAATAATTTTTTAACAGATTTTTATCAAACTTAGTACTAAGGTTGGAATAGTATGAAAATTATCTCAAATCATTTGGTTTTTAAGGGTGCCAAGGTCATATATATCAGGTCATGTGTATATATCAAGGTTTATCAAAATAGAATGTTTATGTATATTTATTAGTGTCTTCAACATCGAGGGCTCAATCCAGATGAGCCTTTAGCAGAGTTGTCCCCCCTGGTAGCGAATTACTTGGAGCCGCCACAAGAGATCCTGTCTCGTTGTGAAGAGCATCTGGAACGCCTGAATAAAGTGTTCAAGTTGGAGGTAGTGAAAAAGAAGGAGGAAAAGACTGGGGAAAACCAGTTCAAAGAAAGGTAGGTCAAATAAAATAAATGTGGACACAAGACAAAAAATGTCTGGTTTCTCATGTCCCTATGTTCAAGTTGGAGGTGGTGAAAAAGAAGGAGAAAAAAATGGGGAAAACTAGTTTAAAGAAAGGTTGGTCAAATAAAATAAATGTGGGTACATGATAGAAATATCTGGTTTCTCAAGTCCCTGTGTTTAAGTTGGAGGTGGGAAGATAAAAGAGAAATATTGGGGAAAACCAGTAAAAAGAAAGAGAGATCAGATGTAATAAATGTGGACACAAGTAAAAAAATATCTGGTTTCTCATGTCCCTGTGTTCAAGTTGGCGGTGGTAAGAAAGAAGGGGAAAAAATGAGAAAGCCCGTACAAGGAAAGGCTGAGATAAATAAAATAAATGTGAATACAGAATAACAATATCTGGTTTCTTGTTTTATGCAGAAATTGACAGAAATATCAAAATATCAACATTCTTGTGTATGCAAGATAAAATGTGCTAGTATGATCACAGTCAGATGGGAGTGTAAGGTATACCATGTAGCATTGTCTTAATTGTGTTGTGAATTATGTTTCATCTATGACGTCTTCAGCGTTTCCCAGAGAAAAGTTCAGACTTTTATTGGTGTCGTATGAAATTTAAATACCTCAAAATGATCAAATTAGTTCCAGAAACTTTTGACCTAAAAACTTATTCCATTTTAAATATAAAATCACCACCCAAGAAAATATCTATAACTAGCGGAATCAATTTCAAACTGAATAAAATGGGGCTCTATTAAAACTTAATTTGTATTTAAGACTAAAGAAAATGATCTAAGCTCCTATACAATGTGTCGAAGAGGGAAATTAAAATTTGTCATGATTTCTTCACTTGGTATTATGTCCAATTTCATTTAAAAAACAAATTTAATTTGTTAAGTGATGAAGGTGAGGCTGGAAAGGCAAAGAAACCACGCCTTGATGATGACCTTGAGGGTGGCATGGCTGACATCACAAGGGCAAAGGTCACAGAGGTAAGGCAGGGGAGGTCACAGAATAATGCTGATAGGCTAAAACTCACAGAGATCAGTCATAAAAGTAGGGTGAAGGTCAGAGGTAAGGTTACAAAAGCAGAGGTGACAAAAATAAGGTTGCAAGGGAAAATGTGCAAGGAAGTTCTCATCACTGCTGGTGTCTATATTTAAATGCTTAACTTTGGACAATAAATCTACTGTAAAAGGGGAGTGATTTGCACGAAAATGTCCACATGCAATTTTTTCCTATAGATTTTAGATCATATAGGTTTCAAAACTGTTGCAAATGAAAAAGTATTTACACTGCAATCAGTTTGAAAAGTGACCAGGCTAACACATCATTTTCCATGCCAGAATTTCTACTTTTACAGTATTTTACGGTTATCCTAGATCTGTATTTACAGAATTTTTCTCACACAATTAAGTTCTGTGCTCAAGTTCTGTAAATATATTAAGTGAGAAATTACTTTAAAAAGGCTTAACTGAAACTTAATACTTTAGTTAATCTAACACTTTGTTGGTAGCTTTCATTAACATTGCAGCTGTGTATCAATCCTAAGTAAACATTGTTTTATGCATATTTATCCAACTGCAAGTACTCAGCCTGTTAGAACAATTATATTGACCCGGTCCAAGGATATGGTAGTTGTCATCAATTGTAATCAGAAAAAAAGTTATTTATAAAGAATAACTGTATAGTTAAAGGAAAAAATAAATATATATTGTGGAAGACATCATATGGATGGGGGGAAAAAAACAAAACATCTTTAATTTTTGGTGTGTGATTCAGAAGGGATCAGTAAAGATGATGGTCCTGATGATCTTAGAGTGACCCAGAGTGTAAAGATATTAACATGTGATCTGTTGTAGGTCCTGATGATCTTAGAGTGACCCAGAGTGTTAAGATATTAACATGTGATCTGTTGTAGGTCCTGATGATCTTGGAGTGACCCAGAGTGTAAAGATATTAACATGTGATCTGTTGTAGGTCCTGATGATCTTGGAGTGACCCAGAGTGTAAAGATATTAACATGTGATCTGTTGTAGGTCCTGATGATCTTGGAGTGACCCAGAGTGTAAAGATATTAACATGTGATCTGTTGTAGGTCCTGATGATCTTGGAGTGACCCAGAGTGTAAAGATATTAACATGTGATCTGTTGTAGGTCCTGATGATCTTGGAGTGACCCAGAGTGTAAAGATATTAACATGTGATCTGTTGTAGGTCCTGATGATCTTGGAGTGACCCAGAGTGTAAAGATATTAACATGTGATCTGTTGTAGGTCCTGATGATCTTGGAGTGACCCAGAGTGTAAAGATATTAACATGTGATCTGTTGTAGGTCCTGATGATCTTGGAGTGACCCAGAGTGTAAAGATATTAACATGTGATCTGTTGTAGGTCCTGATGATCTTGGAGTGACCCAGAGTGTAAAGATATTAACATGTGATCTGTTGTAGGTCCTGATGATCTTGGAGTGACCCAGAGTGTAAAGATATTAACATGTGATCTGTTGTAGGTCCTGATGATCTTGGAGTGACCCAGAGTGTAAAGATATTAACATGTGATCTGTTGTAGGTCCTGATGATCTTGGAGTGACCCAGAGTGTAAAGATATTAACATGTGATCTGTTGTAGGTCCTGATGATCTTGGAGTGACCCAGAGTGTAAAGATATTAACATGTGATCTGTTGTAGGTCCTGATGATCTTGGAGTGACCCAGAGTGTAAAGATATTAACATGTGATCTGTTGTAGGTCCTGATGATCTTGGAGTGACCCAGAGTGTAAAGATATTAACATGTGATCTGTTGTAGGTCCTGATGATCTTGGAGTGACCCAGAGTGTAAAGATATTAACATGTGATCTGTTGTAGGTCCTGATGATCTTGGAGTGACCCAGAGTGTAAAGATATTAACATGTGATCTGTTGTAGGTCCTGATGATCTTGGAGTGACCCAGAGTGTAAAGATATTAACATGTGATCTGTTGTAGGTCCTGATGATCTTGGAGTGACCCAGAGTGTAAAGATATTAACATGTGATCTGTTGTAGGTCCTGATGATCTTGGAGTGACCCAGAGTGTAAAGATATTAACATGTGATCTGTTGTAGGTCCTGATGATCTTGGAGTGACCCAGAGTGTAAAGATATTAACATGTGATCTGTTGTAGGTCCTGATGATCTTGGAGTGACCCAGAGTGTAAAGATATTAACATGTGATCTGTTGTAGGTCCTGATGATCTTGGAGTGACCCAGAGTGTAAAGATATTAACATGTGATCTGTTGTAGGTCCTGATGATCTTGGAGTGACCCAGAGTGTAAAGATATTAACATGTGATCTGTTGTAGGTCCTGATGATCTTGGAGTGACCCAGAGTGTAAAGATATTAACATGTGATCTGTTGTAGGTCCTGATGATCTTGGAGTGACCCAGAGTGTAAAGATATTAACATGTGATCTGTTGTAGGTCCTGATGATCTTGGAGTGACCCAGAGTGTAAAGATATTAACATGTGATCTGTTGTAGGTCCTGATGATCTTGGAGTGACCCAGAGTGTAAAGATATTAACATGTGATCTGTTGTAGGTCCTGATGATCTTGGAGTGACCCAGAGTGTAAAGATATTAACATGTGATCTGTTGTAGGTCCTGATGATCTTGGAGTGACCCAGAGTGTAAAGATATTAACATGTGATCTGTTGTAGGTCCTGATGATCTTGGAGTGACCCAGAGTGTAAAGATATTAACATGTGATCTGTTGTAGGTCCTGATGATCTTGGAGTGACCCAGAGTGTAAAGATATTAACATGTGATCTGTTGTAGGTCCTGATGATCTTGGAGTGACCCAGAGTGTAAAGATATTAACATGTGATCTGTTGTAGGTCCTGATGATCTTGGAGTGACCCAGAGTGTAAAGATATTAACATGTGATCTGTTGTAGGTCCTGATGATCTTGGAGTGACCCAGAGTGTAAAGATATTAACATGTGATCTGTTGTAGGTCCTGATGATCTTGGAGTGACCCAGAGTGTAAAGATATTAACATGTGATCTGTTGTAGGTCCTGATGATCTTGGAGTGACCCAGAGTGTAAAGATATTAACATGTGATCTGTTGTAGGTCCTGATGATCTTGGAGTGACCCAGAGTGTAAAGATATTAACATGTGATCTGTTGTAGGTCCTGATGATCTTGGAGTGACCCAGAGTGTAAAGATATTAACATGTGATCTGTTGTAGGTCCTGATGATCTTGGAGTGACCCAGAGTGTAAAGATATTAACATGTGATCTGTTGTAGGTCCTGATGATCTTGGAGTGACCCAGAGTGTAAAGATATTAACATGTGATCTGTTGTAGGTCCTGATGATCTTGGAGTGACCCAGAGTGTAAAGATATTAACATGTGATCTGTTGTAGGTCCTGATGATCTTGGAGTGACCCAGAGTGTAAAGATATTAACATGTGATCTGTTGTAGGTCCTGATGATCTTGGAGTGACCCAGAGTGTAAAGATATTAACATGTGATCTGTTGTAGGTCCTGATGATCTTGGAGTGACCCAGAGTGTAAAGATATTAACATGTGATCTGTTGTAGGTCCTGATGATCTTGGAGTGACCCAGAGTGTAAAGATATTAACATGTGATCTGTTGTAGGTCCTGATGATCTTGGAGTGACCCAGAGTGTAAAGATATTAACATGTGATCTGTTGTAGGTCCTGATGATCTTGGAGTGACCCAGAGTGTAAAGATATTAACATGTGATCTGTTGTAGGTCCTGATGATCTTGGAGTGACCCAGAGTGTAAAGATATTAACATGTGATCTGTTGTAGGTCCTGATGATCTTGGAGTGACCCAGAGTGTAAAGATATTAACATGTGATCTGTTGTAGGTCCTGATGATCTTGGAGTGACCCAGAGTGTAAAGATATTAACATGTGATCTGTTGTAGGTCCTGATGATCTTGGAGTGACCCAGAGTGTAAAGATATTAACATGTGATCTGTTGTAGGTCCTGATGATCTTGGAGTGACCCAGAGTGTAAAGATATTAACATGTGATCTGTTGTAGGTCCTGATGATCTTGGAGTGACCCAGAGTGTAAAGATATTAACATGTGATCTGTTGTAGGTCCTGATGATCTTGGAGTGACCCAGAGTGTAAAGATATTAACATGTGATCTGTTGTAGGTCCTGATGATCTTGGAGTGACCCAGAGTGTAAAGATATTAACATGTGATCTGTTGTAGGTCCTGATGATCTTGGAGTGACCCAGAGTGTAAAGATATTAACATGTGATCTGTTGTAGGTCCTGATGATCTTGGAGTGACCCAGAGTGTAAAGATATTAACATGTGATCTGTTGTAGGTCCTGATGATCTTGGAGTGACCCAGAGTGTAAAGATATTAACATGTGATCTGTTGTAGGTCCTGATGATCTTGGAGTGACCCAGAGTGTAAAGATATTAACATGTGATCTGTTGTAGGTCCTGATGATCTTAGAGTGACCCAGAGTGTAAAGATATTAACATGTGATCTGTTGTAGGTCCTGATGATCTTAGAGTGACCCAGAGTGTAAAGGTATTAACATGTGATCTGTTGTAGGTTGGTACTGTCACTCCTGTCGAGGACTTTGTGGCGTTCATCAACCAAAAGGACGAGGATAAGTTTGAAGAAGGTAAAGGAATTATTTTCCCTTTTGACCAGGTTTTCCAGATATTAAACTGGGGTATTTTCTCAACTGAAAAATGTTCCAAAATGATTTTGGAAAACATTTTCCTGACCTTTGACCTGTTTCAGAATATTTTGTTCAGTTCCACGATTCCAAGATGACATGCATGACATGATGTTTGGCATTTGGAAAAAAACGGAGTTTATTTACTAATTGCACCATAATTAACCAAAATCTAGAGAAAACAACAAGTGACTATTGTTTACACAACTCTTTGAAAATAACTAAAAAAAATACCCCATGCTTTTTTTCTTAATAAAAATGTTTGTGGCTTATTTAAATGGCAAATTAAAATGTATGTCCAATAATTTCTAATAATCTCTTTAGATAGGTACACTTTCAGTTCAGACTAACTTTGTTATAACTCACCATTGTCGATGTCATACCATTAGTCTTCGACTGCTATTACTGATCACCTTGGGGCCTGTGTAACAGACTGATCAAAGCTGATATATTGGTTAAAAAACTCTGACAATGCCTTGTTTGTAGCGAGCCAGCAGATGCAGAAGAGGGTAGAACAGATAGTTCTAGACTCGTTTGGAGCCCAGTTCTACCCTAAAGCTATGGACTGTCTGCAGGCTCTCCGCAAACACTCCATCAAGGTATACAATCCCACACACTCCCTAATCAAAGGTATACAATCCCACACCCTCCCTAATTAAAGGTATACAATCCCACACACACCCTAATCAAAGGTATACAATCCCACACACTCCCTAATTAAAGGTATACAATCTCACACGCTCCCTAATTAAAGGTATACAATCCCACACTCCCTAATTAAAGGTATACAATCCCACACACTCCCTAATCAAAGGTATACAATCTCACACACTCCCTAATTAAAGGTATACAATCTCACACACTCCCTAATTAAAGGTATACAATCCCACACTCCCTAATTAAAGGTATACAATCCCACACACTCCCTAATCAAAGGTATACAATCCCACACACTCCCTAATTAAAGGTATACAATCCCACACACTCCCTAATTAAAGGTATACAATCTCACACACTCCCTAATTAAAGGTATACAATCCCACACTCCCTAATTAAAGGTATACAATCCCACACACTCCCTAATCAAAGGTATACAATCCCACACACTCCCTAATTAAAGGTATACAATCCCACACACTCCCTAATTAAAGGTATACAATCCCACACTCCCTAATTAAAGGTATACAATCCCACACACTCCCTAATCAAAGGTATACAATCCCACACACTCCCTAATTAAAGGTATACAATCCCACACACTCCCTAATTAAAGGTATACAATCCCACACTCCCTAATTAAAGGTATACAATCCCACACACTCCCTAATCAAAGGTATACAATCCCACACACTCCCTAATCAAAGGTATACAATCCCACACACTCCCTAATTAAAGGTATACAATCCCACACACTCCCTAATTAAAGGTATACAATCCCACACACTCCCTAATTAAAGGTATACAATCCAACACACACCCTAATCAAAGGTATACAATCCCACACACTCCCTAATTAAAGGTATACAATCCCACACACTGCCTAATAAAAAAGGTATACAATCCCACACACTCCCTAATAAAGGTATACACGCCCACACACTCCCTAATAAAAAAGGTATACAATCCCACACATTCCCTAATTAAAGGTATACAATCCCACACACTTTCTAATTAAAGGTATACAATCCCACACACTCCCTAATTAAAGGTATACAATCTCACACACTCCCTAATCAAAGGTATACAATCCCACACACACCCAAATCAAAGGTATACAATCCCACACACTCCCTAATCAAAGGTATACAATCCCACACACTCCCTAATTAAAGGTATACAATCCCACACACTCTCTAATTAAAAAGGTAACAAAGTTCAGTGTTAAAAGTGTCTTTCTCATGCTCACTAAAGAGGTAACAAGTTTTAGTACAAGGACATATGGATCTTTCATACATTACATTTCTCAAGCCTTGTTAATCCTTTTTGCCTCTTTTTTGGGGGAAAACCCCCAAAAACATTACATTTGCTGGTATTTCTTTATATTGACTGTCAGATTTGGTTTCAAACTTCCACTCTGTATTAATTTCATTTTACGTTCATTTTAAAGTGAAGCATTAAAATCAAATTCAAGTATCACATGATATTACAGTATACGTATGCAGAACAAAACACGTGAAAATTCAGTGATTTGTAAATAAGTGCTCTTGTGAATGAAGTTTGTATGAAATTATGGTAGCAAACACTGGAATAAGCTTGCACAGGAGTTACCTCCCTTAGATTCAAGTTATCTAAGACCATGTATTGTTATGTTCTTTTCTATGAAATAATCTCCATATTAACACCCAACAACGCATCAGCTAAAACCGGCCGAATGTTTAACAAGTGTATGTATTGCTGTAAGAGTAACTTTCATTTTTAGAAATCGGAGCCGGGGCTTTATAATACGTTCATGAAGAAGTTCAAGGACGTGTTAATCGCCAAGGGCAGGAGGGACTTCTGGGAACAGGTGGTGGCCGGTAAGGATTGATATTTCATAGGAATAATCCTAAGTTCAGAGGGGTCAAAGTTCAATGTTGACTTTAGTGCTTGCATAGAGAGGAAGTTGTCCTCGCTCGGCTCCGCACTGGGCACACATATCCTACTCATTCGTACCTTTTAAAACGAGAAGATATACCTTCATGCCACGCATGTGACACTCCATTTACAGTGGAACAGTTTTTTAATAGAATGTTCCGATTTTAAACACATTCGTGATAACTACTTTCGAGTCCCGGATATGAAAACACTTTTCAGTTCCGTGGATTCGAAGGCATTATTTAACTTCCATAGAAAAGTAATACAGAACAGTTTATTACATATAAATATTGTTCCATATTAATTACATGTTTAGAAATTCAGATATTACATTGAATTTTGCGAAGCATCTGTATTACATGATAGAAATGCTTGCATTAAAGTAACTGCTATCATTATAACCTAATTAATAATATTCCTTACATATGACCAGAAAACCAGGGCTTAATATCTAAAATGGAGAGCGAAGAAAGCACAGTATCTAATGAGGAGGCAAAACAGTTCGTCAGCGAGGAGGAAGAGAAGGATGAAGAAGAGGACAAACAGGACGAAGGAGATGATGCGGATGATCTTGTAAGTAATAGAGACATCACTCTTATATTTGTACCTCCTTAACAAATGAGTTCTACACTTCCTGTAAAATATCTGTTAGGACCGGTATGTTACACTGGGATAAATGATATCACAATACTTAGACAAGGAGGATAACTCTCACTAGAAATTAAAATGATCTACAGGAAGTCAGTTGAATACAGGTTACAGGTCAAACATGTAATGTAGCATAAAACCTTAACACAAATCACAGGTATAATATCAAAGGTAGCATATAACCTTAACACAAACCGCAGGTATAATGTCAAAGGTAGCATATAACCTTAACACAAACCACAGGTATACTGTCAAAGGTAGCATATAATCTTAACACAAATCCCAGGTATAATGTCAAAGGTAGCATATAACCTTAACACAAATCACAGGTATAATGTCAAAGGTAGCATATAACCTTAACACAAACCACACGTATAATGTCAAAGGTAGCATATAATCTTAACACAAATCACAGGTATAATGTCAAAGGAAGCATATAACCTTAACACAAACCACAGGTATAATATCAAAGGTAGCATATAACCTTAACACAAATCACAGGTATAATATCAAAGGTAGCATATAACCTTAACACAAAGCACAGGTATAATGGCAAAGGTAGCATATAACCTTAACACAAATCACTGGTATAATATCAAAGGTAGCATATAACCTTAACACAAACCACAGGTATAATATCAAAGGTAGCATATAACCTTAACACAAAGCACAGGTATAATGTCAAAGGTAGCATATAACCTTAACACAAACCACAGGTATAATGTGTAAAGCAGAATATAACCTTAACTCGAATACAAATCCCAGGTATGATACGTAAGGTAGCAAACTTGCACTGGAGTTACCTCCCTTCGATACAAATGATCTAAAACCATTTATTGTTATGTTCCCTTCTGTAAATACCATTGGAGGGCATATTCAGCCCTGTCATCAACACTGGTCATCAACACTGGTCATATCAACACTGGTCATCAACACTGGTCATCAACACTTAAAGTTTCTCTAAACTGTTACATAGAGAAAACGTTGATATTCGTTTTAATGTGGTTTTGTATTTTTCACTTGTAGCTGGACATGATGTAGTGTCCAGTCCTGATGAGCCTATCACTGACCAGTCAGATGACCGTACGTGCTGGTGGAGAGAGAGCACATTGGCAGCTTGGTGTTTATCACGACTCTGGAGTCAACCCCGAACGAGTGTGGGGAAAGGAAAACAAACAATGTTGTTTCCCTATAAATCATCATTTCAGAGTGTTGTTTTCCTGAGGAGAATATTTCCTTACATGTTGTCATTACAGGTGTCCTGCTCCAGGGAGAAAGGGATCAATTATATTTCACTGTGTGTCAACATAATAGTTCCATGTTACTTAGAAGAACAAGAACAGGCAATGTTTTAATGTTTCTTAGTGTAGTAATACCAGAGTGTGATAGAATTGTGGCGTTATTATAGAATGTGAATGTGTGAGGGCAGCAGATACATTTGGGGGGTGGGGGTTATATCAGAATCAGTTTGTGTCCTTAGACTGGACTTTTGGAAAGCTCAACTCATTCATTGTTCCCTGCACACACATTTGAACTCTTCCATTAAATATAAAGGTTGAAATAGTTCATTGGGAAACTTCAGGGGTAAATATTTTCAAACATTTTCAGGTTTGTAAGTATGGATTATGAGAAGTTCTTTTTACACAACCAATCCGATTTTCTATGTGACGTTTCGATGACTAGTACGGTATGTACACTGTCACCTTCATCAGATAAATGACCAATGAAGCGTATGCACACAAAGGTTTAAAACTGTACCAGTTGTCCACCATATCCAGTTGATTCGGTCAAGCTGGTCAAGCTGTACATACGCTTCACCAGTCATTTGTCTGATGAAGGAGACAGCGTACATAGAAAATCTTATTGGTTGTGTAAAAGGAACTTCTCATAATTCAGGGATAAATGAGTTTACCTGAATCGGTAGCCAGCCAACAGATCAAGCAATTCGTTGTCATTCTTGTAGTGAAGGTTTTCGATTGACTCTGTGTGTTGTCTGTAGGGACCACTTTTCTCTATCGTAGTGAACAATCTCTAAACTCACGTTGTATAACAGGAGACAGGGACAAGCCTGTAACCAACCTCTTGTGCTTTTGTTGTATTTTCTAAGCTAGGTAATGAAATTTTGAATTATGATAAGAATGAATATTTGTAAACATGGGGGATGCTCCAATCAAGCCCCCTCCCTACGTTTGACCAATCTTTTTTTTAAGAGGGAGGGAGCTTATTTTCTGGTCAAATATGGTAGATGAGGGAGAGCCCAAATAATCTAAACCTACTGTACCTTGAAACTTAACGATATGGAGAGTAGACATGCTACTGTACCTAAAAAGGGGAGAAAACTGTTCTATTTGTTATGTCTCTGTTAAAGCTGTACCATGTTATAATGTCTGTTATAAGTACTAGAGCTGAATGACAATAAATCCGAGTTAGATGAGAAGAAATGTTTTGTTGTTTTTAGCTTGTCCAGCAAGTGTCTGGTGAGGAACAGAGATAGTGTTACAGGGGAAAACGATCCTATTCTTTAGAACCAGAAAACATAGAGCTGTGATCTTTGACACCTAGATGCTGATTTAAAATTAAACAAAATTTGTTCAAATGAATGACTTTGAAGGGTCAGCTTCCCAAGTCAGTTTGAGCTTTGTAGTAGTGACCGACCCCAGGTCGATGTCCAGGTCAGTTTGAGCTTTGTGGTAGTGACCGACCCCTGGTCGATGTCCAGGTCAGTTTGAGCTTTGTAGTAGTAACCGACCCCTGGTCGATGTCCAGGTCTGTTTGAGCTTTGTAGTAGTGACCGACCCCTGGTCGATGTCCAGGTCCAGGTTTCTAAGTGATTGGGAGACCTCCTCCTACAAAGTCCCCCGGGACATGACACTTTTGATCCAATCAATATGTTTAAAAATATTGTTAAAATGAAAAGTTATTTATCAAACTAATCAGCAATAAATGTGATCAAAGATAAGTAGTATTCAGAATAAGAAAACAAAAGACATAGTTAATAGTAAATACTTGAATAGCACACAAGAATTGGGATTAAGGCACTATCAAGTGGAAAATACATACAACGTTAAGAAAGCAAAGAGTAAAAATTGACAGAATATACACTAATATAGTGTGAAATGAAGGAATGATACCGAAACCAATTAACAAAATTTGTCAAGTTCTGTAAAAATTGATATTTAGAAATATGTGTAATTCAAATAAGAATAAGATGCTGCAAAAATGTCAAATATGATTAATATCTAAACATCTAATAGTGGAAGGAACAAGCAAAATAGCCACTTTAACGCACCGTTATGTCGTTTGGTCCACATCAGGGGTACTAAAGGTCATTGTATGTTGTAGAGTGGCTTATTCTAGCTAGATATAGGGCGCGATATCAAATGTTGTATTATTAGAGATTCAACGATTGCAAATATGTGAAAATATAGAAAAGGGGAAATGTGCCTAAAAACTTTATATCACTAATTTACGGCTGCATCAGCTACACATAAGGTTACGGCCATCCTCGGGGTTAATCAGCCGAGTCAAACACGTTCGGAGGTGTAACAAGTTATAGAAAGATGAACGCAGTACATAAGTAAGTGATCATAGCTTTTGGCAATAAAATGAGTAGTGAATACTTCCTTACTGGCAAGCTAGCTTTTCCAGTGATGCGGTATAACCGGGGGACCCGCTCACTAGTTCAGCAACGTCGAGCTTGGTCAGTAGTTGGATGGGTGACCACCCAACGTTACACTTGGTGGCAGCGATGGGATTCCCCAGGCCAAGTCTAAGGTATATAAGGGGGAAATTCCGGTGATGCTGTATAGTTGGATGGGTGACAGCCCAACGTTACATTTGGTGGCAGCGGTGGGATTCCCCAGGCCAAGTCTAAGGTATATAAGGGGGAAATTCCAGTGATGCTGTATAACCCGGGGACCCGCTCACTAGTTCAGCAACGTCGAGCGTGGTCAGTAGTAGGATGGGTGACCACCCGCACGTTACAGTAGCCCAAAAACAAATTACACTGCATCATACAGCTGTGTCCTCCTTTTAGTACTCGTTGATGGTACTAGGGTCCAAAATGTTTGAAATCCATATGTGTTTAAACTATTGTTGAATAGACGGAAAGGTGCATAAAACCCGATGATTTATCATGTTCGAACGTTTGAGGAGTACTGTCAAATTTCAAATTAGATAATAGTAAGGTATAAATATTATGAATCGTGTCAAAAGAGATGAAACGTTGGAGCTGGGATCTCTTGTTTATTCAGTGAAATCGAAGCAGAGAGCCAAACAAAGTAAGCATTTTTAAAGGGCCATAAGGTCAATTCGTCAATTCAGGATTCATCAGTAGTAGCTAGATTTTCCCTTAAATCCCAGGCAACTAATTATGTCACAGAACAAGCACACAGTGTTGGGTTGGTTTTACATCTTTTATTGTCTGATCAACAAGAGACGGTCGTTGAGTGGGTTTTATAGCGAGACACATTGATAGAGAAAGCGTGGAGAATCAATTTTTTCAAACAGACACAAACAAATTCCACTGATATTGCACAGTAAATATACAGAATTCCAAGGTCAGATTTAAAAAGAAAATCATATCGCAGGTCTTGAGAAACATCGACAAACACAGACCCCACCAGACGACTTGTTTTAATTTACATTCTATTGTTTTTATATTGGATTTTCACCGCAACAATGTACATATCCTGTGTTCGGATGCATGGCTTTTTATCTTTGTGTATTGGCACCCTGTATACTATCATTGATATGGAAATCTACTAATGTTTGGAGAGGTCTGATATTTACATGTTATATAACATCATTGATGTGTTAGGCTCTGAATGTGGACTTTGGTCTGATATTCTCTGTCATGAAACGTTAGTTTTTGTATAAAACTATGAACGAATCTTGTACGGTATTGTTCTGTTGTTTGTATGTAAAAAGTAATTATAAAAATAGCCAATAATCATTTGTGAAAGTTCTAGAATGAAGAAGGGTTTTGCGACTGTCTTGCACTTTTTACATTGGATGTGTCATTTAACATACCAGACAATCAAAACACCATAGAAGATTTAAAAAAGCACACATATAAAGATTTCTTTTTACGTCAAATATTAAAATAAGTTAAAATAGAACATCCATGCCACAGCGTCGACAAATAAGACAAAACATACCACAGCGTCAACACGCAGAACTTAACATACCACAGCGTTAACACACAGAACTTAACATACCACAGCGTTAACACGCAGAACTTAACATACCACAGCGTCAACACACACAACTTAACATACCACAGCGTCAACACGCAGAACTTAACATACCACAGCGTCAACACGCAGAACTTAACATACCACAGCGTCAGCACACATAACTTAACATACCACTGCAACAACACACACAACTTAACTTACCACAGCGTCAACACACACACTTTAACATACATCAGCGTCAACACACACACCTTAACCTACCACAGCGACATACACAACTTAACTTACCACAGCGTCAACACACACAACTTAACATACCACCGCGACAACACACACAACTTAACATACCACCGCGTCAACACACACAACTTAACTTACCACAGCGTCAACACGCAGAACTTAACATACCACAGCGACATACACAACTTAACTTACCACAGCGTCAACACACACAACGTAACATACCACCGCGTCAACCCAAACAACTTAACATACCTCAGCGTCAACACACACAACTTAACATACCACCGCGTCAACACACACAACTTAACATACCACCGCGTCAACACAAACAACTTAACATACCTCAGCGTCAACACACACAACTTAACCTACCACAGCGTCAACACACACAACTTAACTTACCACAGCGTCAACACACACAACTTAACATACCACCGCGTCAACACACACAACTTAACATACCACCGCGTCAACACACACAACTTTTTTTTAATTTCCCCGGCAAGATTCGGCGAGAGAATACCTTTGTAAATGGGGTATTGATAATATATATTATATCACCAGACTGTGAGTCCAAGAGAAATTGAACGTGGTGAATTAACTGGGACATCTGTGGCGATTGCCGTGACCCCGGGGTCACACAATCAGTAAGTAGATGACGCCTTTATCAGTATGGAGCGCCACCTATTGTTAATGGTACTTATAACGTCCGCCAAAGGTAAGAATGGTTGTGTGCATTCTAAACAATGGTTTTCGGCAATATTCACATTACTGCAGCGTTATAAGGATTTCTAGGGGTTTATTTCAAGTAACTAGTAAAAAGTCCTGACCGCAAAAACAGCTGCAGTAAAATGACAGGTAACATTTAGACAAATGAGAAAGTCAACTGTTTTCAGTTGACAGGAAGTATCAGCCAAAGACTTGGATGATCAATCATGGTGTTCGTCTTCGTACGAGTTCGTGAATCATGACAGGGCTTTTTTATGAGGTATCTCCAATGACAAGTTCCTTTCTCAGGTAGCCCACATGACAAGCTTCATTTATGAGAAAGCCCACGCGACAGGCTCCTTTCTGAGGTAGCCCACGCGACAGGCTACTTTCTGAGGTAGACCGCATGACAGGCTACTTTCTGAGGTAGTCAACATGACAGGCTCCTGTCTGAGGTAGTCAACATGACAGGCTTCTTTCTGAGGTAGCCCACGCGACAGCCTCCTTACTGAGCTAGCCCACATGACAGGCTCCTTTCTGAGCTAGCCCACATGACAGGCTACTTTCTGAGGCAGCCCAAATGACAGGCTCCTTACTGAGGTAGCCCACATGACAGGCTACTTTCTGAGGTAGCCCACGCGACAGGCTACTTTCTGAGGTAGACCACATGACAGGCTACTTTCTGAGGGAGCCCACATGACAGGCTCCTTTCTGAGGTAGGCCACATGACAGGCTCCTTTCTGAGGTAGACTACATGACAGGCTCCTTTCTGAGGTAGCCCACGCGACAGGCTACTTTCTGAGGTAGCCCACGCGACAGGCTACTTTCTGAGGTAGACCACATGACAGGCTCCTGTCTGAGGTAGCCCACGCGACAGGCTCCTTTCTGAGCTAGCCCACGCGACAGGCTCCTTTCTGAGGTAGACCACATGACAGGCTACTTTCTGAGGAAGTCAACATGACAGGCTCCTTTCTGAGGGAGCTCACGCGACAGCCTCCTTACTGAGCTAGCCCACGCGACAGTCTCCTTTCTGAGGTAGCCCACGCGACAAGCTCCTTACTGAGCTAGCCCACATGACAGGCTACTGTCTGAGGGAGCCCACATGACAGGCTCCTTTCTGAGCTAGCCCACGCGACAGGCTCCTTTCTGAGGTAGCCCGCATGACAGGCTCCTTTCTGAGGTATTCAACATGACAGGCTCCTTTCTGAGGTAGACTACATGACAGGCTCCTTTCTGAGGTAGTCCACATGACAGGCTCCTTTCTGAGGTAGCCCTCGCGACAGGCTCCTTTCTGAGGTAGCCCCCGCGACAGGCTCCTTTCTGAGGTAGCCCGCATGACAGGCTCCTTTCTGAGGTAGTCAACATGACAGGCTCCTTTCTGAGGTAGCTCACGCGACAGCCTCCTTACTGAGCTAGCCCACGCGACAGGCTCCTTTCTGAGGTAGCCCACGCGACAGGCTCCTTACTGAGCTAGCCCACATGACAGGCTACTTTCTGAGGTAGCCCACATGACAGGCTACTTTCTGAGGCAGACCGCATGACAGGCTACTTTCCGAGGTAGACCGCATGACCGGCTCCTTTCTGAGGTAGACCACATGACAGACTCCTTACTGAGGTAGACCGCATGACAGGCTACTTTCTGAGGTAGACCGCATGACAGGCTACTTTCTGAGGTAGCCCACATGACAAGCTCCTTACTGAGGTAGACCACATGACAGGCTCCTTTCTGAGGTAGCCCACGCGACAGGCTCCTTACTGAGGTAGACCACATGACAGGCTCCTTACTGAGGTAGACCGCATGACAGGCTACTTTCTGAGGTAGACCGCATGACAGGCTCCTTTCTGAGGTAGACCACATGACAGGCTCCTTTCTGAGCTATCCCACATGAGAGGCTTCTTTCTGGGCTAGCCCACATGACAGGTCTCAGCCTTGTCCTTATCATTCTTCTATACATCATCATATCAGCAACAGCAAACATTTTGATTTATTCTTGGCAGACTTAGAAACTGCAACTGTTCTGCTGTTAACATCTTGAAAACTTAGAAAGAAACTATTTAATTCAGAAAAACACCTTTTATATCTGCATTATGTTTTGATCGGTGATCGATTGACAGCTAGTCATCGACCAGTCCCGTCACTGATCGGTTTCAACCAGTTGCAAACAGTACGCCGAAGTTGCAGATCACTCACTGACAAGTTCCAAATGCTTTCCTGATTGATCGGCGATCAAGTAGTTGCGCGAGTCTCAGCGATCGTCAGTCGGTCACAAATGAAAAAAAAAGTCACCAAGGGGTTGCATCACAGTCGCTTTGTCTGTGTAACTGCCGCATAAGACAGGACCCGTAAGAATAAACATTCAAACGTGTAAAGTAAACATTCAAACGAAAAATACTAAATAGGCTGACACGCAGTCTGTCTGGTTTGTTCGTTTTTTATTCTCTATGATATATGCATAAAGGATTTTGTTTGATTCTTTTAGTCATTAACATAAGGTCACACGGACAAGGATATTCCATAGCACACACGGCTACCTGTACGACAGTTTGAGCGGGGTTGTCTAGAACATTAGAACATATGGATCCCCAAATATTACGAATAAATGACCATGAACCGAGACGAAGATGCCCTATCAAATAGCATTGTATTCACCGACAAACTTTTTTAACAGCATTTTAAAGACAGGCGGCACACATTAATATGTATCATATAATGCACTGTGTTATCCAATGAATATACCAATGTCATATTTTTTGCGTTTTAACCCATGTAATACTATGACCTATCAGCCCTGTGATTGGTTGTAAATTTCAATTGTTTTAATTGTGACGTCACGCCTAGGACAAGTGCATGACGTCACAGACTTACGCACTGGAGTCAAAATGGCGGCTTTTTACACTTCAAGGTTGTATGGAAATGGTCGTTTTGCACGAACAAATGCCACAAACCTTGATTATGTGATAAACGTGATTCATTTTAGCTCGACAGAGGCTCGCTATATTGAAACATTCTTAGAATCGTTTCATAAATCTCCTATGAAATGGGAACTCATGATGTAAGATCCTATATGTAAGAGACGTCATAGAAACAAAACTGAAACTTGTGTATATCGAAGGTTTCTGGAGGGCAAAATACAGCCATAGATTGTATGTAATGAGTACTTTTTTAAAAAATTATTTGTAATCATTAAAATAAAGTCTAAAGAACATAATAAATCAAAATACATGGCTGCAGTATGTAACCGTATCATTTTTTGTACACTGGTATCCGGTTTGGACACTCAGGAAAAATGACCTTGAGCGGGGAAATGTGCCTAATAATATTCCTGATAAAAACATGGTTTTATAGAAAATATTTTTTTGAGCATGTTTTGATGTCAGAGGACATGCATCATTTATATGTATGTGATACATTATCAATTTAGATGTCTTAACAAAACACAAAATTGTAATTTTGCGTACATTGCAGGTCTCATCGTAATGGTCATTATCATGATCCTTAAATCTGTAAGACCAGGGCCCGTATTCATGAAACCATTCTCATGCTCAAGCGTGTACTTTGTGCTCAAACCTAATTTCTTGTTCTGGTTATAAATCAATAAAAAAAATCTGGTTTTTTTCAATGATTTGGAAAACATTTGAAGAGTCTTAAAACCGAATAATGTTTGCAGTGTTTACATTTAACTGTTTGGTCGTTCAACACGATTAAAGCAAGTTACAAGAAAGTCGGTTTGAGCACAGAATCTGTGTTTGAGCATGAGAAATGTTCATTAATTCGGGCCCTGGTAGAGCGCATGTTATTTGGGAAACCGTTAAGATGATATTCGAGGCGTTTCAAAGCTTGCTTTATATATCGAACCAATGTTTGGTCTGTAAGTGGCATCACTGGTGTAATATATGTTGTCAAACTCTGCTGAAATCCCTCATTTTTATTTTAATCTCTTGTATTTCGTCAGCATCCCAATCTATCGGAGCAGTGCCTAAAGGTTCCTGCTCAAGCTATGATCGACACATTGTCCACGTTTTGAGCATTCAGCGCTTCCCATAGCTATGCCGTACCGGAGCGAATACAAGTTGTCAACACACATCAGTACATCGTTATCAACACCAATTCCAACGATTCCATGATATCACAGATTCCGTGTTCAGAGTCTGATCATGTTTTTATATCTTTTGTAGCCTTTCGAGATGATTTCAACACATGGAATGCCAGTTCCTACAGCATCGAAGTGTCTGCTTGGGGCGGAGGGGTAAGTTTAGAATAAACCCCGCTGACTGGAATCCGGCTAAGTCAAATGACAATCTTAAACAGAAAAGAATCACCTTCTCCACCAGCTGTTTCCTTATCTTTACTGCGAAATAAATTTCACGAGATACATAAATGCATCACAGTTCGAGATCACGTTTTGAAGATCAAGATAAAAACATACAGTTTATTAATTATATATATACCATATATACGAAACAAAAAAATAAATTTGTCACTTGAGCGAAATCAGCCGTGGGTATCCGACGATGTGCTAAGCGAAGTTCAATATTTCCGCCATTCCCCCACTAAATAAATAAATAAATTAAATAATTGAAAAAATAGAGAATAAATAAATAATATTGTATCTGTGTAATAAATTACTAGACATGACAAGCCCTGCTTTTCTTTACAGATATCATTCAATTTACCATATACAGATGTTAACAGTCGTTTTTCCATCGAATGAAATCGTTACCACAAGAGACAAAAGGCTATAATTTCGATCTTTTTATTTTGTTTTAACAATGTATAATAATAAGATATTGACGTGACGGAGTGTTATTTTTTGCAGAATAACGAGTTTCAAGCGTACACAAACGACCCCAGTAACATCTACGTCAAGGGAGGTAACCTCTACCTCCGTCCTGTAAGTACATACCTCTACCTCAGACCTGTAAGTACCTACCTTTATCTCAGACCTGTAAGTATGTCTGTCAAGGGAGGTAACCTCTACCTCCGTCCTGTAAGTACCTACCTTTACCTCCGTCCTGTAAGTACCTACCTTTACCTCAGACCTGTAAGAGAATGTCTGTCAAGGGAGATAACCTCTACCTCCGTCCTGTAAGTACCTACCTTTACCCCAGACCTGTAAGAGAATGTCTGTCAAGGGAGGTAACCTCTACCTCCGTCCTGTAAGTACCTACCTCTACCTCAGACCTGTAAGCATGTCTGTCAAGGGAGGTAACCACTACCTCCGTCCTGTAAGTACCTACCTCTACCTGAGACCAGTAAGTATGTCTGTCAAGGGAGGTAACTCTACCTCCGTCCTGTAAGTACATACCTCTACCTGAGACCAGTAAGTATGTCTGTCAATGGAGGTAACCTCTACCTCCGTCCTGTACGTACCTACCTTTACCTCAGACCTGTAAGTATGAGTGTCAAGGGAGGTAACCTCTACTCCGTCCTGTAAGTACCTACCTCTACCTCAGACCTGTAAGTATGCCTGTCAAGGGAGGTAACCTCTACCTCCGTCCTGTAAGAACCTACCTCTACCTCAGACCTGTAAGTATGTCTGACAAGGGAGGTAACCTCTACCTCCGTCCTGTAAGTAACTACCTCTACCTCAGACCTGTAAGTATGTCTGACAAGGGAGGTAACCTCTACCTCCGTCCTGTATAAGTATGTCTGTCAAGGGAGGGAACCTCTACCTCCGTCCTGTAAGTACCTACCTTAACCTAAGACCTGTAAGAGAATGTCTGCCAAGGGAGGTAACCTCTCCTCCGTCCTGTAAGTACCTACCTCTACCTCAGACCTGTAAGTATGCCTGTCAAGGGAGGTAACCTCTACCTCCGTCCTGTAAGTACCTACCTTAACCTAAGACCTGTAAGAGAATGTCTGCCAAGGGAGGTAACCTCTACTCCGTCCTGTAAGTACCTACCTTTAGACAGGTTACCCCTATCTCCGACCTGTAAGTATGTCTGTCAAGGGAGGTAACCTCTACCTCCGTCCTGTATAAGTATGTCTGTCAAGGGAGGTAACCTCTACCTCTGTCTTGTACGACCTACACTTAGACAGGTAACCCCTACCTCAGGCTTTAAGTATCAACATCAAGGGCGGTACTTTCTTTTTCGCTTTTTGGATTAAACGGTATTTGGCGTATTGTACAAAGATATGAAAACGTATGACATTCTTTTTATTATAACAGATTGTTGATGTGGTATCACACATACTTAAAAACAATTGACATACATGTTGGATGGGACAGTTCCATCAGAGATACACATCGTATTAGTATGTCCAGCGCCTGTGGATATTCACAACATGGTGTATGCACATCGTATTAGTATGTTCAGCGCCTGTGGATATTCACAACATAGTGTATACACATCGTATTAGTATGTCCAGCGCCTGTAGATTTTTCCACAACATAGTGTATACATATCGTATAAGTATGTCCAGCGCCTGTAGATATTTCCACAACATAGTGTAAGTGTATACATATCGTATAAGTATGTCCAGCGCCTGTGGATATTTCCACAACATAGTGTATACACATCGTATTAGTATGTCCAGCGCCTGTAGATATTTCCACAACATGTGTATACATATCGTATTAGTATGTCCAGCGCCTGTAGATATTTCCACAACATAGTGTATGCACATCGTATTAGTATGTCCAGCGCCTGTGGATATTTCCACAACATAGTGTATACACATCGTATTAGTATGTTCACCGCCTGTAGATATTTCAACAACATAGTGTATACACATCGTATTAGTATGTCCAGCGCCTGTAGATATTTCCACAACATAGTGTATACACATCGTATTAGTATGTTCAGCGCCTGTAGATATTTCCACAACATAGTGTATACACATCGTATTAGTATGTCCAGCGCCTGTAGATATTTCCACAACATAGTGTATACACATCGTATTAGTATGTTCAGCGCCTGTAGATATTTCCACAACATAGTGTATACACATCGTATTAGTATGTTCAGCGCCTGTAGATATTTCCACAACATAGTGTATACACATCGTATTAGTATGTCCAGCGCCTGTAGATATTTCCACAACATAGTGTATACACATCGTATTAGTATGTTCAGCGCCTGTAGATATTTCCACAACATAGTGTATACACATCGTATTAGTATGTTCAGCGCCTGTAGATATTTCCACAACATAGTGTATACACATCGTATTAGTATGTTCAGCGCCTGTAGATATTTCCACAACATAGTGTATACACATCGTATTAGTATGTCCAGCGCCTGTAGATATTTCCACAACATAGTGTATACACATCGTATTAGTATGTTCAGCGCCTGTAGATATTTCCACAACATAGTGTATACACATCGTATTAGTATGTCCAGCGCCTGTAGATATTTCCACAACATAGTGTATACACATCGTATTAGTATGTCCAGCGCCTGTAGATATTTCCACAACATAGTGTATACACATCGTATTAGTATGTTCAGCGCCTGTAGATATTTCCACAACATAGTGTATACACATCGTATTAGTATGTTCAGCGCCTGTAGATATTTCCACAACATAGTGTATACACATCGTATTAGTATGTTCAGCGCCTGTAGATATTTCCACAACATAGTGTATACACATCGTATTAGTATGTTCAGCGCCTGTAGATATTTCCACAACATAGTGTATACACATCGTATTAGTATGTTCAGCGCCTGTAGATATTTCCACAACATAGTGTATACACATCGTATTAGTATGTTCAGCGCCTGTAGATATTTCCACAACATAGTGTATACACATCGTATTAGTATGTTACAGCGCCTGTAGATATTTCCACAACATAGTGTATACACATCGTATTAGCATGTCCAGCGCCCGTAGATATTTCCACAACATACTGTATACACATCGTATTAGTATGTCAAGCGCCTGTAGATATTTCCACAGCATGTGTATACATATCGTATTAGTATGTCCAGCGCCTGTGGATATTTCCACAACATAGTGTATACACATCGTATTAGTATGTCCAGCGCATGTAGATATTTCCACAACATAGTATATACACATCGTATTAGTATGTTCAGCGCCTGTAGATATTTCCACAACACAGTGTATACACATCGAATAAGTAAGTCCAGCGCCTGTGGATATTGCCACAAAATAATGTATACACGTCGTAGTAGTATGTCCAGCGCCTGTGGATATTGCCACAACATAATGTATACATATCGTATTAGTATGTCCAGCGCCTGTAGATATTTCCCCAACATAGTGTATACACATCATATTAGTATGTCCAGCGCCTGTGTATATTACCACAACATAGTGTATCCACAGCGTATTAGTATGTCCAGCGCCTGTAGATATTTGCACAAAATAGGGTATACACATCGTATTGGTATGTGCAGCGCATGTAGATATTTCCACAACATGGTGTATACACATCGTATTAGGATGTCCAGCGCCTGTGGATATTTCCACCACATAATGTATCCACGTCGTATTAGTATGTCCAGCACCTGTGGATATTTCCACAATATAGTGTATACACCTCGTATTAGCATGTCCAGCACCTGTTGATATTTCCCCAACATAGTGTATACACATCGGATTAGTATGTCCAGCGCATGTAGATATTTCCACAAAATAGTATATACACATCGTATTAGTATAGCCAGCACCTGTTGATATTTCCCCAACATAGTGTATACACATCGTATTAGTATGTCCAGCACCTGTTGATATTTCCACAACATAGTGTATACACATCGTATTGTTGTATTCCTGTTTAAATAGACATGGAAAATGCATAAATAGCTGAAAATACTGATTGATTAAACGACATGATTTAAGTAAAGATGTTGTCTGAAAACTGTACATTTGACAATATAAAATTTCGGATATTTTGTACAGCCATTTTCTAAAATTACAATCTCCACAAATCCGGATATTATGTAATAATTTGCTTTGTGAGTTGGTCTTGCTAAAACAATAAAATAGATACATGCCTCTATAACTTCTGTGTTTAATTTGTCTGATTGCTACAGTATGACACAATAACGTAGTCGTACTGACGCTGATTATTATATTGAGAAAATTAAGTTAAATACTACCACTGGTTACTTAATATGACATTATTTCGGTTTCATTGAATTACCTATGGCTAAATATTTTTTCTCAATTCTTTCAGAGACTGAAATTTTATTTCTGCGTTGCTCATATGAATACAAATATTCTGCATCAAATTAAAGAGTGTTTTTACCTTTGAAATGAATAAAGCTTCCGACATCTATCTACAGATTATAAACTTTCGTATGCATGATCTAATCAGTCATTAATTGTTTACTTTTGCAAATATTAATCCCCATTAAAATATCACATCTCCTACAGAAAAGAAGATATGTCATTAATATTAGTTTTTTTCTTCTTCGATTAAAATCAGTTTCTTTCTGAATTTTGCAGACGTTTACGGTAGACAATCCCCATTTTGACGAAGCCAAACTGTACAATGGCGAGATGGATTTGCGCAGTAAGTTACACATACACTTCGTTGCCTTTCACATTACAGTAACACTGGAGTACGTTAATTACTACACATTAGATTTCCTTATATATTTGGCACCATTGCCCTTTTAACAGATATGGTCATTTGAGGACAAGCCAGGTATGGCTTTAAGTCTTCGCTATATGCACGATTACTGCAACATGTATACAGATACTTATTGTGAGACTCATGAGGTTTTCAATACATGCCATACCTAGGCAACTGTACAAGTACAAATCTTCATAGCGGGGCAACCGGTAACCTGTACTTAAAAGTACCTCTTTCATGTCGTACCCAGTGAGACTCGCCGAACAGCAAAACAATATGAAGAACCTTTTGATTGGGGTTTCGTATCGCATGCTTAAAGATACCGATTCTTGAAGGATGCGTACTTTCATCCATTTTGGTCAAATTTCACCAATCATTTGCTTGGACAAAGACTGATTTATCCTCACACCGGAATGTAAGTATACGCCCCCTAAGGTACCACGTGACTTATGATTCAGAAACTTGTGTCTCGGAAACGGCGTATTCACCTAACTTTTATCACATATAAACAAAAGATTAAATGTGACTCTCATTATGATATGGTCAGCAACAAGTCATACATTGTGGACGTGATAACTATAACACGTGCAAACTGTAAGGGAAAGATGACGGTAATCAGAGGCAAATAATGGCGAATCGTCAAAGTCAATGTATGACGGATACTTTCCGATTGTTTCTGATTAACATTTGTCATCTGGCGGAGCTGGCACCCATAGCAAACATTGTTCTTGCAGAAAAGGCTGTTCCACCATAAGTTTTACCAGTTTATGGACGATTATCTATGAATCAAAACAAACTATACTTAAAATTGAGATATAACTGTTGTTTTGAAGTATGCAGCCTCCTAACTGACACAGGGGCCGCGGTGGCCAAGTGGTTAAGGCATCTTACATTCTGCTACCACTGGGTCGCGGGTTCGAGGCCTACGTGGGACAGTCGCGAGGTACTGGCCGTAGGTCGGTTGGTTTTTCTCCGGGAACTCCGGCTTTTCTCCACCTCCAAAACCTGGCACGTCCTTAAATGACCATAGCTGTTTATAGGACGTAAACCACAACCAAACCAAACCAAACCAAACTTAACTGACATCGCTATAAAGAGGCTACACACGGAGATGAAACTGTATTTATTTGATGTTATATTGAAGATAAGTCTAAAGTAACATTTCCTCAGGTCTGTGGCAAACCTGTACGTTCTCCGGCTTCGACGGATGCCACAAGACGGCCAATGGTCACGGCGAAATACTACCGCCAGTCCTGTCCGGCAAGATCACAACCAACTTCGCCTTTACCTATGGCCGCGTGAACGTTCGCGCCAAAATACCGAAAGGCGATTGGATATGGCCAGGTGATTTCTTAAAGCTGGAATCAAAATCATTTTATCAAACAAGTTTAAAATCCGTTACAGCAGTGTTGGTTTATTTTACAGTAACAAGCGCTTTGTAAACTATGTAACTCGACACATAATTCATCATTATACATGTATTTGGGTATCTTTTTAATGCTACACTCCCGATTCTGTCTTCGTGTATTAACAAAGAGTGTTGGTTTCATCCTTTAGTTTATAGAATAATCACGTGACATTTTTCTTTCTATTTTTAACACCGTTGTTACTAACCTCCAGCGATATGGCTGATACCCAGCGACTCTCATTACGGTGGATGGCCGAGGTCGGGAGATATTGACATCATAGAATCTAGAGGTATGACGTCACATACAACATTCAAATCAAATATTACATTTGCAATGTGTAATTCATGGGGGGGGGGGAGATAGAAATACAATTTTGACTTTATAGAATTCAGATAAATTACGTCACATTGAATATTTTACGTCATAAAATACAGAGGTACATGTTCCTGTATGACGTCACATTATCACTGCAATGAAGCTACTTGATATATACGTTTGCTTACCAGGAAATACCAAGGCTGTCATAAATGGCGTCAACCAAGGTGTTAACCAGCTGGTGTCCAAGCTAAACTGGGGCCCGGACTACAGACACAATGCGGCGGACAAAACCACTGAATATGCGTAGGTAAAACACCATACAGAACCAATACATAATAGACCACACAGAAACGCGACAAGCAGAAAATATACCATACATAACCACGACCTACACACTAGACCAACACATATACAAACAGGTAACGCTGGATGATAAGAAATATTATTCCGTCTTCAGTGTTTTTTGTAAATTATTAGTTCATTTGTTCTATACATATATAATGTCATTCCAATAGTCGACAGCTGTACAATATTCAAACGATTTTATTGGGATCATTGCTGTTTTATTGTTGACCCGTTTGTTACCGACCTAACTCGTGTTAGACATGGAATGTTCATATCTGGTTACACAACATCAGTAATAGCCAGTGTTTAGCGTTATAGTTGACTTATTCGTCAGTTTGAACTTTTGTCCCCAGGAGGAAGTCGGTCGGGGACTGGCATGGCTGGCACACCTACTCCATGGAATGGACACCTGACCACATCATGTACGTCAGGGTGTCTGTATTTGTTCGTCACCGCGGTATTTGAAAGTTTATTCAAATACAAAAGTTAATAGTTGGATTTATATAAAAGTTTAAAACAGAACACACCGTGACATTTGTCGGCTGGACGTAACCCGCAATGCTCCGTGTTCATTACGCTTCTACAGCGTTTATACCAGCTGGAACGTCACAATATTTGGTAAGGTGTATGTTAATAACATGTTTATTGCATTAGGAGCTTCCTAGTGACTAAAATACTTCGAAAAGTATGTTTTAACTGAATATGGACAGTTCCTTTGTGTGTCCGTAGTGTGTTCACATACCGTGACGACATCGCTCACTCACACCTGGACACTTTATTATAGGTGCTCTATTGTTCACTGCAATCCGTACAGGTGTACTGAGAAATAATCACTCGCACACGCTGTGATCGCTGTGCCAATATAGCAATTTGGAACTCATCTGTGTATTATTCGGACATTAAATCTATTGCTATTTATCACCAGTATGGATTTATCAGAAAATGATGAATCCCCCGTGTATACTGAATTGACTAATGTTGAACCCCTTACCTGCACTTGGCATAATGGACAAGTCGAGGAATCATTCTCATACACCCCCTCATCGCAAGTCGTAGAAACGCTGTACACAGAA